ACCACTACAGCATCATCAGGTACCAAATATCTATATTTAATTGTTGTAATTATTTAATATTCTGTAATTATTTTTAATTAATTATTTTTACTTATATTTATTGAATTGTTGTATGTGTATAAAATGTAATAAATAATATTTGGCTTACTCATTCATGGTACAGTAAGAAAGACAATGAGAGTTTCGATGAAATTGATCCGACTACATGGCTAGTGACAGATGAAGTACCTGGTGGGCCGATAGATGGTAGCGTGATTCCTAGCTTCCTTGGGCATATTGCTTATCATTTCTGGCATGGATACAATAGACCCACATTGAAGATTTTTAAAGGCGAAAAGATTCTGAATAAGTTGAAGATGTGGTATAAAGATATGGATGATGTAGTGAGAGGCAAGATTCGGGGGACTTGATTGGGTCACCTTCTTCATACCTCGTATGAAGATATTGATCTTGGCTTAGTTCAAGCATTTGTTGAGAGGTGGCAGCCGGACACCAACTCATTTCATTTCCCGTTTGGGGAGATGACCATCATGATGCATGATGTTTATCATATTTTGGGCATTGGGGTCGATGGAGAGTTGGTGTCAGCTACGTTCGAGACAGATGTGTTGAGGAGACATGCAGCAGGGATACTTGGCCTGGATGTGAATGGTTACAAATGGAGTCATGGCGGTGTCTTTGATTGGTTTATCCTTGAGCGATGCCAGAAAGTGGACGAGAATACCCAAGCCTCTGCTTTCTTGTGGGTATTGTTGGCCTCGGCGTTGTTCATGGGCAAGAGTGGTGGGAGGTGCAGTGTTTCACTTGTACATGAGCTGATGGCTGGGATCGAGGATATGGGTTCATACTCATGGGGCTCTGCTCGCTTGCGTTCCTATACCGTCAGTTAGGGATGGCTAGTAGGGCAAAGTAGGCACTCAGTTAGGTGGTTATTTGACCATACTGCAGGCCTGGATATACGAGTATTTCTCGATTTTCCGCCTCCAGGAAGGGCGAGTTACCGTGGGGGTAATGACAGGCCCAGAGTACATGACTGGATACTACCATCTTTTGCGGGACCGACATCTGTGCCAGATCGTCTTCGTCAGGTTAGGGAGCGTCTCGACCGTTTCACCGAGTTAGAGGTACTTGATTCCTTCATTTGACTGTATTTTATTTTATTTTTTGAAAATTATATTTATAAATAATCTAAATACTATTTTGCAGGTAAAGTGGAGCCATTTGGACCTGGCCAACAAGGAATAATTCCTAGGACTATCTACAGTGGGTGGATAATGTATAGGAACTTGCAGGAGCCATACATGCCGGACAAATGTATACGTCAGATTGGCTACGTACAGAGCATTCCTCGTTCGCCCATGTCCCCTGATGATGTATTCTGAGGACCCAGGACTACCCAGTACTTTGTACAACATTCTGCTGTTGACACACTCAGTACTTGGACGAGATTCCCGGAGTCAGCGTGTCTTAATTTGACCAGATGGCGATACAATTATATCGGTGACATCGTAGGAGAGTGTGAGGATGGGTACCTTGAATAGTACAGGCAGTATTCACATCCATTTCTGCTGCCGACAACTGAACCATCTGCAGTCTCTACACCAGCTAGGAGCAGTCAGGATTATGTAAGTTGTATTTTTAATTTTTGAGTTTTTGTAGATATACATTTCTATATTATAAATAGTTTAACCTTTTTCTGTTTTTATTTTTTCAGTAGATGAATGAATTGAGGAAGCTGACTCTGAATTTCAACCGGGACGCGTGTTTAACGCGTCCGGCCATTGAATCGGATGCGTATATTGCGCGTCCCCGGTTCAACCGGGACGCGTGTGTTGCGCGTCCGGTCTGATTTTACCCGGACCGGACACGCAACACACGCGTCCCGGTTGAACCGAGGACGCGCAATGAACGCGTCCGGTTCAATGGCCGGACGCGTTTGTTGGACGTCTCCGGTTCAACCGGGACCGTTTTCTTGCCCGATTCGGTTCCTTTTTAAGTTTTTTTTTACCTCTGAATGGCTCATTTTCTTTCTCTCTCTACTGTATTAAATGACAGGGGCAAAATTGTACAATTTTTTTTAGGTGACTTTGAGTACTAATTTTGGGGGCTTTAAAAATCTATCCCCTTTTTTAAAACAAGAGACCTAGCCCCACCCTAGCCTAAGCCCAATACTTGAACTCTTCTTTTTTGACATTTGGTATTGTATTTCTCCACCATTTTCAGACTGCAGGGGCTGCCGACAATGGAGACAACCACCGAAAGCTTAACCGGGAATACCTACCCGGGGTTTCTGCGGCCGGCCGGACACTGCGGGCCCTAAGGTAGGTCCATGCCTGATCTCCTCATGTTTTACCAGTACCACACATAAAGAATTATAAACACTACGTAGAATTAAAAATAAAATAAAAAATAAAAAAAATCAGATGATTATGATTCATTGATTCTTCCTGAACTTTCTCAAAAATTGTGGTATCCTTGTCCATAACCATGACACCTGAGAAGATCAATGAACACCACGCATCAAGCAATAATTTCATATTGGATTCAAATCTCTATTCGACAAATTGTTACTTCGGCTGCTTGCATGGTGTCTTTTTAAGTAGGGGTTTTCAGAATGGAAAATTCTCGTTGCCCAAAAGCCATTTTGTTGGTCCAATTCTGGGGAGAAATCCAGAATTTAGATTTTTCAACTAGGCCTGGGATTGGTCCAGCATATGTAATTTGCTTGATGAAATAAGACAAACACATACAATATTTGATTGGTCCCTTTCCTAAAATGAGTGCCCTACTTTTCATAGTAGAAATAGTTCAACAAACTAAACAATAATTTTTCAGAAACAAAATGAATATAAATTAAATTTCTAATACCTTTATTACATGGTCAGTTGTTATACTGGGCATCCAGTGCTATCCGGGCGGCCGGGTGCGCGCGCACCCCTTTTTTTGCCTCTTTTTTTTTAATTTTTTAATTTTTATTATTTTTAAATTCCAAGTTAAACACTAATAGCTAGACCTTATCTTAATTAAAATACTTACACTCATCTAAATCCTAAATACTAAACACATTATTTTTTTATTTGGTTTAAATTTTTTTAATTCAATTAGGCTAAACGAGACCGTAGCCTAATTGAATTAAAAAAGATTTATAAGTTATTCATATTATATCACACATTAAATCCTAACCTATTAATTGCATGTGTAAAAGTGAGAGAAATTACATTCAAAAAATATTTTATAAGATTAAAAAAATTAAAATACAAAAATAAAATTTAAAAAAGAAAAGAAAAGAGCACTAAACAGGCGCGTTCAGCGCGCGCATCTGCCCAGCCCAGTGCTACCTAAATTGGTAGCACCGGATGCTCAATATAATTTGAGACGAAAATTCAAAATTGGTCCTTTACATTTAGTCATTTAAACATTTTGGTTATGTACATTAACATTTGTCCTAAATGGTCTTCTATTTCTACATTCATAAATTTTTTGGTCCTCTGACACTATTCCGGCATTTGACCGTTCTGAAAGTAAAATCAACATGGGTATTTTGGTATCTCACAATTAATTTTCCAGAAATTTTTTTCATGGATTAAAATAATAAATATAAATAATACTCCCTCCGTCCCATAATTATTGTCCAGTTTGCCAAAAAAATTTTGTCCCAAAATTATTGTCCAATTTGACTTTTTATGGATCAAGTTACACATTTGTCCTTAGTAAAAAACATTATCCATAAAATCTTAGTGGTTAAACAATTACTTATGTAGAGGTATATTCGGTTGTTTAAGGTAAAATATAGTTAAGTTTGACAAAAAATAAAATCTTTCATTTTAGTAAAACTGGACAATAATTATGGGACGGAAGGAGTAAATAATAAATATTCAAAAATTCAATTTTCAAATATTTTTTAACTACTTCTCTTTCATTCAATTTGTTTTTACCCGGTCCCACATTTTTACCTTACCTTATCATTTTACTTTTGCTTTTTACTCTTACCGTGGCCCACCAATCTTAGTATTAAAACCCTAAAAGCCAAAAGAAGTTGACCAAGTATTTCTGTCCTCTTCCCCGCCCCCGACCTGTCGTCATCCTCATTGTCGACGATGTTGCCAGAAAAGAAAATTCAGACTCGGCAGAGGTATGAGATCAACTGCGGCGACGATGACATTACACCCCCATTGTGTAAGTGCCTGGTTCCCTGTGTAATTAAAACCTCTTGGACGAATAAGAATCCTTCAAGAAGATTCGCCCGATGCGCGAAGTGGATTGATTAGGATTCTGAAAGAGGCTTTGGCTTTACCATCGAAGGAACCTATATTCATCTAGAACTTTTAATTTCGAATATTTTCATGTGGTGTATATTCAGTTTTTGGTTTGTGTTCAGGTCAAATTTTGTCAATTTTGGGTCTGGGTTGACCCGGAGATCTGTGAAAGAGCAAAACAAGTTATACCTGGTCTTTTGCATAAGTTTGATGAAAAAGACGCCCAACTGGAAATCGCAGCTGTAAAATTGAAGGATTTGGAAGAAAAATTGCGCAATGTGAGAGCTGACATTGGCAATGATATTTCGAGGCTGGCCTCTATTGAGATTGAGAACATCCAACTGAGCAAGAATTGAGAAAACTGCAATCTGTGAAGAAAAAGATGAGGTTCATTTATGCAATGTTTTTTGTGTGGATTGTGTGGAAATTCATGTGTGTGTTTGTGCTGAACAAGAATTCCGAATTAGCCCCAGAAATGCTTGCGATTCATGGGGTTTAGATAGGTCATTTGCGGAAACCCAATCACTCTTCGGTTAATGCTTATGTGTATTGTACGATTGTACTGAAATTGCCTCTGTTTTGGATAATGAATGATGGCAATTTCATTGTGATATAGAACTCATTGAGAGTTGTATTCAATTAGAGTTGTATTCAATTAGAGTTGGATTCAATTGGTTTTTATTGTTTGGGTGCAAATTTTATGAAGTAGGGGAACGCAAAAGTTGCATATCACAAATGTAAAGGAGTAAATTGATTCATCGGACTGCACCAAAATATCCTCTACTGCATTTTTAACAGCATAAGTAAAAGTAGAGGACCAAAAGGTAAAGGAACGCATAAGTAGAAGTAGAGGAACAAAAGGTAAAGGACTAAAAAGATATGTTCGATTGCACCAACTTTTACTCTACCGGAATTGTTCATCTACCTGCAATCATCACAATCACAGCTAGTGTCATCTTCATAAGCATCCGTTTCATTGCATATCTCTGCCCCATCAATGCCATTATCCTCTTCATCATCAGTTTCACTTTCATTGCATCCTTCTGCCCAATCAATGACATTATCCTCTTCATCACCATTTAGACGTGATTCCATTTCTATATCTTGACAGTGTTCAGCAATCCAACATTCATCACAATAACAAAATTCATCTTCATGGCCTCCCATACCATCATCGCTATTCATGAAGTCATCGTTTAATTCGAAGTAGCGTTCTTCATCTAGATTCAATGCATAAAGCACAATAAACCTTTCACCAGACAAAGCATCTGAACAAATTTCACAAAGTCTCCGATCCCCCTCTATAGCCTCATCTCCATTTGCTTCACTTATAAAGTAGTAAGTAACATATCTGAGAATCCCAATGGTACGGCCATCTCAGCTAAGTTGCCAGTAAACATTTTGAAGATCCACATTATCAAAGACTCTGAATTCACCACCTTCATAAACGGGGAATAGTTGGGCATAAAGATGCCCCCCTAGTGTATTTGAATGCTCCCAAAAGTGCTACTATTATTATTATTTTAATCCATGAAAATTTTTTTGGATAATTAATTGTGAGATACCGAAAATACCCCTGTTGACTTTGCTTTCGAAACGGTCAAATGCCTGAATAGTACCAGAGGATCAAAAAAGTTATGAATATAGAAGTAAAGGACCATTTAAGACAAATGTTAATTATAGGACCAAAAGGTTAAAATGACCCAATGTAAAAAACCAATTTTGGATTTTAGTCTTTGCCCTATCCCCATTCCCCACCATCATTCTGTGTTCACAGAAAGGAGAGATGGTTCGCCCGGGAACGAGCTTCCGGTTTTACCTTGTTACCCCACACACTACCATCAATCTCCTGTTTCAAGACTCGGTCACCTTTGTTTCGGAAAAGGGAACATGTAAGAAGTCACCAATCTCATCATTGATGGTGAGTAATTGAGTAGTTTTTATGGAATATTGTTGGTTTGATTAATTTCTGAACTGCAGAAAAGGAAATACTTACATTAAACAACATTACGCAGTAAGAAAAACATTTATAAATAAATAAACAAAATTTTAGTGATTTGAAGCTCCTACACATTTGAAACTTGTATAAGCACATTATTCAATTGACTGTTTCCGTTTGCCCTTGCGACCATCACTATTTTCTTGCCCTTTCCTCTTCATCCCACCTCGGGGTTTTCGAGGCGCCTGAATTCAAAGAAAAAATATTTTCAGAAATCTGGCCCAACAATAATAATTATAACAAAAAAAACGTAGATCCTAGAGGAAGAGGAGGACTAGCGGCGGGAAAAAAAAAAGCTCCAAAGATTATTAGGGATATAGTTCACCGTACCTCCGCGGAAAACGTTTTGAGAGGGTTTCTGCTTTTCTTAAACTTGCCCTTAAATCCTCCACGGCGGGCAGAGTTGTTATTTCCAATGGCAGCTCTAGCAAGCTTCACGATCTTGCTGGCTTCCTGTGTTGTAGGATCCAACAGGTATTCAGGCACATTGCGCAAATGTGGAGCAGGATCCTTCTTACTCAGAATCTTTTCGTGCTTCAAAAGATCTTCCAAGAGAAAATACAAAATGAGATTGTATAAGAAAGCAGACATAAATTTTGGACTACACTGCTTCTCTCTTACCTAAATCCTTTGGGTTATCTTGAAAGTGATCCTTCAGCCTGATAAAAAAAAAAAAAAAAAATTAAAATAAAAAAAAAGCTCAATTAGAAACAGGGGATCATGAGCAGTAACAAGTAGGAAATTGATGGCATCATACTTAAGAAAATGCATAATCACAAATAAAATAACTAGTCTTTTTTCCCACTATATTGGGGTCAGCTACATGGATTACATCGTGCTTGATCAATATACAATTCGTCGTTCATATTTAAATATTTCACAAATCTCCTAAGCGATCTCACAAATCTCTCATGAAAATAATGAAGACCTAATCATCAGTGACCGGCAATGAGTTGAAGGTGTGGATACTAACACATCCTTGAAAATAATGTGATTTCTTTTTAAACTTTTAGGTTTATACCTGACAGCAACGCGAGGTAAGAGTATGAAAGTCCTAGTCTAAACTCTACTGTCAGAAAATTCATCGTATTTACAATGCATGGATCAACAAAGATCATCAAAATTAAAGACATATCTTCATTGAAAGCGAATAAGTTTCGATTAGACTGCCACAAATACTGGGAACAGAAATGTCATTTCCATGGTGCATTTGTATTTAACTGATATATTGTGGCAAAACTTTTAACAGCGTTAGAAGCCTAAGTGTACGCCAACTTACTTCGTTGAATTGAGGATTTCATTCTTAAGATCCTGTATCCGAGCATCTCTAACAGCAACTTTCGTCACACTCCTTGCCACATCCTGAAACATTTGGCAAACTAATTGACTTCAAGGTTTCATAGAACAATAATTCAGTTTCCACAAGAACAAGCACCATTCTGTATGGAGCATTGAAATCATCTAGTAAAGCTTATAAATTAGAGATAAGATAACTTTTATGGTGGTCACATTTATACCTCAGCTCTATATCTCAAGCTCTCTACAGCATTCTTACTAAGCAACGGGAATGGTGCAATAAAATTGGAGTCCTCGCTTTCATTCTCAGCCATAATTTCTTTAACATCTTCAAAAACAGCATGCTCATCAGGTGAAACCTATAGGATATCAATTAAAAGACATTAAGCCAGACACAACAAAGCTGTTCATGTTTTCACAAAATGGTGAAATAAATTAATGTCCAATACGACAATCTTACAAATCATGTGACACTAAATTATTAATGCTTTGATATAGAAAATAAAAATTCCAACCAACAATTCAAGCAAAACTAGAGGGATAACAACTATATTGCATGAACTAGTACGTATTGCAAGAAATAGCAGCGGACCATTACACAAGCAGAGGTGTAAGAAGCAGAAACAAAATTTTTAAATTTAATAGCAGCATAAAGATCTGGCACAGTATGTATGTCTTTATAGTCAATTTACAGAGACTACAGCAATGGCCAAGCGCCCCGGCTGTCGACACTTCTGCATCTAAAATGATAGAAGTAGAACTAGGCTGGATAGTCAACCCATTATAGGAGAAATCCAACATTCCCTCTAGAAACTTACAAGAGAGACAGATGCACCAGTATTGTGGCCCCTTCCTGTACGCCCAATTCGATGTACATACCCAGCTGCATTTTCAGGCATCTCAAAATTTATAACCTGGAAGAAAGGAACATCAACAACATGAAATGGAACAGTCAAAACTCAACAGCGATATGTTTAGAAACTTTAACATAAACCATAAGATCTACTAAGAATGCACTTCTGCTAAAAACACCTTCACATCCTGATCTTTTTTCTTTTTTTTTTTTTTTTTTTTTGATTGAACATCCTGATCTTACCGTGTGCACATTTTTGAAGTCTATCCCTCTTACTACACCAAATTCTGCATCCAATTTTTGCTTGAGATGCTTCTTGGATTTTTTCCTGTCAGCATTATCTCGGTTGTCTATTTTTTCTTTCTGTAGTTGCTGACCGTCATCACCCACAATCAAATAATCAAACAGGCCAGCATTGAATTCCTGATAGAAAAGACATAAGACATGGATACCAAACATAAGAATACCAATTATATAGAAGCAAATGTAGACATAAATGTTTAGTATTAAGACAAACATGCAAATAAATCAATACTCTAACCTCAAGCATATGCAGACGAGAATTTTGTGGAAGCTCTGAATTCAAAACAGCAGATTTTATACCAAACTGCAGAGAGAGGCAACCACATCAATAATGTCATACATAACGGCACCGACATAGTCCTCTGGACTGCTATTCATTAGAAAAGCCATTTAAAATTACCTGCTCAAGGAATAGCTTCAGCCTATAACTCATTTCAATTGAATTGGTAAAAATCAAAACTTTTTTCTGGACAAGCTCAAGCTTCAATAGGGCAAGGATATAGACAAGCTTATCTCGTGCACTGCATGAGATCTGTGGAGAGAAAAGTCATAAGAAACACCAATCATCCTGGCAAGTTTTCAAGCGGAAAAGAAAGAGAAAGAGTGTACGCATATTGGTGGGGAGACGGAAATATCAAAAGAATAAGAAAATATCATAATCTTTCATTGGCAGCTGATCCCAAAATTATGAAATTGCAATGCAAGTAGCTTAGCGGAAAATAGCAAAGTGGAAAGAATATGAAATGGAGCAAAGAATCCAACCGATGCTAAGAAAATTCCATTATCTGAAGATAGAGGTATGTAATGAAGCAGACATATTACAATACTTCAATAAAAGAGAAAACCAATGAAGCTACGCTCAACATTCTGTTATTATTAATTTTTTGAATGAAACTGTACGATTAAAATACAAGAACTAAGATTAGAGCTGAATGCCTAAATATCTTACATAAAATTGCTGAACATTTTTGGGAATGATATCATCCTTGACATCTCCTACTTCAGGCAAGGTTAAAATGTAGGGATTATGCAAAACAAGCTTCTTCAGCTTCTCCACATCAGCACTGCAAAACATAATACAAGATATAATAAGAGATTAAAAAGGCGGAATTGGAGGTTTAAAAACAGAATTAGGGGGAAAAAAAAAAAAACTCCAAACAGAATTAGCAGATTCATTTTTCATATCTTGTATGAATGAATGATAAACCACCAAAATCTTGGACAAATTAAGCGGCACCATTACATAAACTATGCCTCATATGCATGCAACACCTTTTCGAAAGCCAGACAAGCACCTGGATGTAGCAGACATGAGAAGACATTGACAACGTTTGGGGACATGAGTTGTAAGAGCTTTAAGATCTTCTTCATATCCATACGACAAAAGGAGGTCTGCCTGACATCAAAGGATAGATCATGAGGTTCCCCTACAGTTAAGTGGATTACACACATAAAAGAGGAACTGAGGTTCACAGATTCAAAACTAGTTGTTTTACAACAAAATCATTTTAATTAATAAACTCTACACATGAATGGAAGAGCAGTTTTCTTCAATTTTCATAAATCATTACCAAATATGTTTCAATTACTACAACCATACCTCATCGAGCACAATGATGGACAGGGACTCTTGAACGGCCTTGGGCTGAAGTATGCCATTTGACAAGCATGTGCGAATACAAGCAGGTGTGGAAACAAGGATATCAGGTGGACCTGCCAATGCCGTTCTCTGCAACCAGTACCAATTACAATCTTAGACCGGACCTTAACACAACTAAACTATACCAAAGATTTGACATGAAAAAGAACACGATACTAACCAAGTCAGAGTTGGACATGCTGCTGGTTAATTGCACAACTTTCAGTTGCACTCTGCACAACTCAATAAGGGATGTGACCTCTGAATAAACCTACAATATAACAAAAGTAACATCAGAGCCGAAACCTTTTTAAATTAGTAGCATCATTTATCTCTTCGATGCAGTCCAAATTTCGATAACACGACGTACTTGTTGACACAATTCACGAGTTGGAACTAAAATGAAAGCCGTAGGAGCTTGAAAACTTTTGGAGGAGCTGCTATCCGAAAAAAGCTTCTGAAGTAGAGGTAGAAGATAAGCAAATGTTTTTCCAGAACCAGTCTTAGCTCGAGCAACCACGTCTTTTCCTTCCTATCATTCGAATTTCCAGTGAAACAGAATTATTACATATTAAAAACTATGATAACAATAAAGCAGCACACAATCAAAATTAATTGATCAATGATTGACTCACCAAGATGAGAGGAATTGCAACGCGCTGGATAGGGGTGGGATTTTCGATGCTTTTCTTGCTCAGGGCACGAATTAAGCGTGGGTCTAATCCAAGCTCTGTGAAACTCTGCTCCGCATCTTCTTCTTCTTCTTCTTCTTCTTCTTCTTCTACTACTTCCTCTTCCTTTTCTACTTCCGCCTGCTCCTTTGCCTCTTCCTCCACACTTTTTTCCTCGCCCTGTGATCTCAATTTATCAGTCTTTTTCTTCGCCATTCAATCAAATTCGTCTGGTAAGATTCAGTGCGAGTGGTTTTGAAACTCTAGGGTTCTATAAGTTTTTCTGTATACAGTATGTCAAATGGCATGGGCGCCAAGGGGATAGGTAGGGTTTTAGTTTCAGGACACATAAAGACCCAATTTCAAAGAAAATGGGTCGGGCGGAGATCCCATTATTTGTGGGCCTGGAGGCGTGAGTTCATATAACGCCTTTGCTGATCCAACTTAATGGCGTGTACAAAAACATTTTTCGCGCCTTCAAGGGCGTAGTTAAGCAATATATTCTGTATAATTTTTTACTCTTGCTTCTTTATTTTCTTTTTTTTTTTATTTGAATATTAATAATTCCTTAAGGTGAAGTCTTGTAATAAAAAATTATTTCAAACTATTGAAATGAAATTGAATTTATATAATTACAGATCCAAGATAGTGATATTTTAAATATAATAGTTGCCCCACTCTGAACTCTTTGATTATAAATCACATCCAAATACCTAATTATCAAAGATGTTGCCTATTGATGAATCTATTACACTCAGTGGTGGAACCTGCTTCTCGGACTTGGGGGCTGACTACATATTCATAGTTGAAAAAGATGGTCATACATACATAGCGCGAGGTCAACTATGACTATCCCTAAAAGGTTTTTCGGTCAATCGGGGAACTCAGTATCCCTCAAGCCCCTAAACAATTCCGCTACTGATTACACTAACACGATAAGAAAATATAAGTCCGTGACCTTTCCGATGACTGATCGAAGGAGGGACAAATAGGTGCGGTTGCATGGCTACACCCACTCCTCTTTTATTTTTTTAATTTACTATATATATTTAAAATTTTTAGCATAAAGTTATACATAAATATATATATATATCATTTTTAGACAAGTTTTCAAAAATATTGTATAGTTAATAGCTATATGTAAAAATCTGACAATCTCTAATGAAATTCATGCCGATGTTACAGCTTCGCGAGTACCTTCTATACGATTACTTGACTTTTTATTTAGAGGCAAATGAAACATCTGAAAGTAAAAGTGTTAGCATCATTCATCATTAGGGCTATATGGATTGGCTCCAAAATTGATTTAAATGGAATCAACTGTTTGAAATGTTGATTTGTCCTGGGAAATACAGGAATAAGGTAAGGAGTAAGGACCCAGAAAAATGATGAGTCGCTGTCCCATTTGGATGCATGCCACTCTCGGAGGATACATTAATGAATGGAATTAAAGCATTACTTTGACTGAAGCCTTTACTTTCGGTGTGAGTTGAATGCTATAGTACATGCATTCTTCATGAAATTAATTATTATTATTATTATTAATATTACTATAAAAAATTATTATTATTAGTAGTAGTAGTAGTAGTAGTTCATATGTTCTGATATATTTTAAGCCAACAAGACAGCGAAAAAAATAGTAATAATATAAATATAAATAAAATGTGAAAAGTTCCTGAGATATTGGAATGCGAACCAAAAAAAGGAGAAAAGAAATAAATAAATAAAAGGAGTACAAATTGGCAAAGCATTGGCCATGAAACTTGTTGGAGAAATGGTAATCTACAGAGCTCTCCAACTTCCGGTGTTCATGAAGTGCTGGTGTTATATGGATGTCCAAAATGGAACAACTCCGAAAATGAGGACCACAAACGAGAAAAAGAACAAAAAAAAAAAAAACATTGTAATGAAATGAAAGTGCGCCTAGGATGTTGGAAATTCAATTGCTCAAACAGACCACATCCATCCAAAAGCATCTTGTCAACCCCTCCGCCCCCAATATTAGTCCACTACCATTAATCATGAGAATGATTAGTGGTGGACATATTTTATGCAGTGTTCTATCATTAATTTTATTTAATCAATGGTGGGTATATCAAAATTTATTAGATACTGAGATCTTCACTAAAAAAGAACGAAAAAATTGTACGATCATGGAACGTAGACAGATCCAGATTCATTCCGTAATAAGTTCCACAATTCTCAATTTATCTTTGAGACTTGGGATTTTTCATTGTGGCGTTTAGAAAGCCTCGGTTATCTCTTATCTCCTAACAACAAAAGTACTACATAGATCACCTTAAAATCGTGTACAGTACACCATTCCTATCTCTTTCGTGGATTCCTAAACAGCAACTAGCAAGTTGCAACCGGTATTCTTTGATAACTGCTGAAGAAAACTAGAAAAGCAGAAAACCTCACAAGCTAAACCCAGCCGTCTCGTTGACATCATCTTGTTCTGATAAGAATGTCTCGCTCCGGTCAACTGATTAATTCACGGCTCAATTTTTTTCTTAAGAAAAAAATATATATTACAAAATGTATGCCAAAAATTCTACATCCGAGCCCCAAAGTAAAAGAAGACGAAAATTGAATAATGAAAACCAACAAAATCAGCAAAGTGGATCAATTGTATTAAACTATACCTCATATGACAGCGAATGTGCCAGTAAAGTCTGAATTTTTTAAATCCAAAACAACTGACTTGTTAGTGTTGTTCATAATTTAGTCAAAAAACAGAGGAGATCAGCTGGAATGTTTAGCCTGTTTTTTTTTTTTTTTGCTAACAAAGTGGACAAATTCTGCAACATTCGGTGTCACCACTCATTATCCGTACGCTATCTCTGGGTTTTTAACAAACCCCACCAACAGAAATTTCCACGGTCCAATCGTCCGCACAACACCAAACCCTCCCAAGTAAATGAGAAAAAGGTTTGAATGAAACGACAATAATGCAAGTGAAACACAAAGACAAGAACCATATTGGTGTATTGATAGTTCATATTTTCAATTAGATAATAACAACAAAACTATATATATATATATACATTTTCATTTTCAAAAAAAAAAAAACAACAACAAAACTATACAATGTGATGTTAATAATACCAGATAATAAGAAATACAAAAATACTGTATCTGAAAGCAAACGAGAAGAACAGAGCTAATTTTAGGTTTGATGAAAAGGAGATCCCCAAAATAAGCCAAAATTTCAGCTCAATTTTACAATCAAAGCCTAATGGAAGCCAAAAAAAAAAAAAAAAGAACTACTAACACTCTTCATATACATACATACCTGTGAAAAATTTCAATCATATCTAAGGCGTTTAGTGGAAATTTCCCATTTAACAAAGAATTCAATCAGCTAAATTGAGCTCAATAATCTGGCATCAGTTGACGCTCTTTCCCTTCTTCTGCAGTCATTTTGTGCTCCGAAATTTTCAACCACACACAAACAGCGGTGAAGCTCAGAACCAAGCTCAACAACCCGCTTCCCAACCCGATTCCAACAATGGACAGAACCGATAGCCCTTTACTCTTCATAGGCGGCAATGGGTACCCATACAGATCCTTATTCCCCTCGAAGGAACTCGCATTTAGCCTCGGCAAGTTCCCGCTCCGATTCCCCAAGGTCGAAGGTATGGGACCCGAGAGTTTGTTATTCGAAACGTCAAACACCGATAGTCTGGATAACGATCCCAGCTGTTGAGGAATAAGCCCAGAGAGTTGATTGTCGTGGAGATCGATGACATTAAGGTAAGCACAGAGGGAAAGCTGTTGTGGGATTGGGCCGGTGAGGCGGTTGGAGGAGAGGTTGAGGACGGCGAGGTTGACGAGGTATTGGAGGTCCGGCGGGATGGTGCCGGAGATGGAGTTTGAGGAGAGGTCTAATCCCTGAAGATTGGTACAGCTGGAGATATTGGGAGAAATGGTGCCTTTCAAGGAGAGGTTTGGGAGGGCAAGTTTGTAAATACGGCCGTTGTTGCAAATGGCGCCGGTGAGGAATGAATTGAAGCCGTCACAAGGGCTGGCGAAGGTGGTTTTAGTCCAGTTCTGGAGTTTCTTTAACGGGTCTTGTAAAGATTCGCTGAGGTGGGTTAAACATCTCTCGTCGTCCGGATCTGGTGTTGATGGAGGGAGAAGGGCGGCGCAGGTTAGCAGCAGGGCGCAGATTATGTGCGGCCTCCCGGAAGAAAAATCCCCCATCTGGGGTGGACAAAAAAATTGAAAAGAAGATGGTCGGAAAATACAGAAGTTATGATGATTTTGTTGCAGAGATTTCGTTGGGTTTTGGAGAAAAACGGCAACAGTAAGTGATGGTGGCACAAAAAATGAGATGCAAGTAGTAGTAATGGGAAATGTGTCACGAAGGACCTTAGTCTAAATAGGAGTAGTAGTAAAGGTTATGGTAATCTATAACAGATTTCTTTTGGGAGTTTTATGGCTCCGTCAATATGGTCTAAGCGCATGGTAGCAACGGAGAAGAAGGAAATGGCGAAATGAGAGAGGGGAGTTGTTGTGGGAGGTTGATGATTACAGGATGTTGGAGGGGGTTGATTTTTGGGATTAATTAGTGTATAATTTATTATGATTCAACTTTTGGACACCTAATAAGGAGTAAGGAGGAGGACGGAGGGAGACTTTTTATAGAGGCACTTTTGGAGAGGGTGTGCGACTTTGGGGGCTGCAGTGCACCATTTCATTTCATTTCATCCACACTGCTGTATAGGTAGTACATGTGACTTATGTAGGTCTACAACGCTCTACATTGTACATGGTGGCCTCTCTAATTTTAGACAATTAGGGTCACACTTTCTTCAATGTTGAGCTGAAACTAAACTTTGAGTCTGATTTGTTGAATAATTGTGGACTAGTATGTGACTTTTTTTTCTTTTTTTTTTGGTGTGGAATAAATCTAGTGTCGAGATGATTGGGGCATCTCTTTTTCATGAAATTATATAACAGACTACTACTCCCTCCGGTCCTTAATATAAAGTAATTTGATTTGTCCTAAGTTTTACCTAGTAGTTATTTTTAATTAACAAAAAAATTTTAAAACAATATTTTCATATTCCTTGTGTTCTCTTGATTGTTAGAAAATATTTTTAAAATTTTTTTGTTAATTAAAAATACATATTAAGTGAAACTTAAAACAAATCAAAATACTTTATATTAAGAATAGGAGGAAGTACATCGTAATTTAATGAGTATGGAAGGAACGTTACTACTATCATGTAAGTAATGTTTTGTTTTAATAATCATCATATCTACTGTCGACATTTATTTTTATGGATTATGACTCATTCATTACTTGTGAAAATTATCATTAACTTTCAAGAGCTTTAGCGAGTGACATTTTGCTAAATGTAGATATACAGCGTAATAAATATTGGGTAAATGAAATCTGGAGGGATGGTGGATATCGAGAAATACACTTGTTTTTCTTCTTGCGATTCCGATCAACAATGCGGGGGGCGAAAGTGGGACATCGGGGATGGTGAAACTGAAAGTGGAAGTAAAGATTAGGCACGAGGGTGTTTGCATAATAAATCCCGATTAATGGCTCATAGTGCTCGGGGTGGCGCCGCTGTTCTCTGCTGCTGCATTGTGGGCACAGTGCACATTTGAGGACTAATTGTTGGATAGGGACAACACCAGGGCGCATCCTTTGGAGTTTCGACAATTATTTCCTTTTTATTTTCGTTGTTGGCCACCAAAAGTGAGCCAGCACCTGTGGATTTCCGCCTACAAAAGAGTAACAAATGGTTTCTTAAACTTTATCAAGCGCGACTGTAATTCTTCACCGTCGGAATACAAACGAGACTTATCTTTCCATAGGGCTGGCAATCTCTGACACGACGTGGAATTTTGACACAAACTCGACACGAAATGACCCGATACGAACACGAGACGCATATTAAACAGGTCGGGTTAGGGTTGGAAATTTAAACCCGTTTATTATACGGGTCGGATTAGGGTCAACCCGGTAGATTATCCGGATTATCCGCGGATATGTAAATTATGTGTATTATAGGGGTACTTTGGGAATTTCGCAGCCATCCCCAACCCTAATGTCAGCTCATTTATATACTCCTTACAGTTCATTTGGCCGAATATTTTCAGGTCGGGTTAGGGTTATAAAACTCGACCTGTATATTTATACAGATCGGGTTCGAGTTAGCTATAAAATATACGGGTTCGGGTCTAACCCGACACGCCAACCCGAACCCGACACGAATTGCCAGCCCAATCTTTCCATGTTTTTGTTGTATTATTATATTTCTTCGGTTTCTAAAAAAAAAAAAAAATTTGTGATTTATATATTCTTAATACAATACAAATATATTACCTTCACATAAAGTTGGATGAAACTCTCGCAACAGTATACAATGTGTACCAAAATATATATATCTGACCATTGAAAAGAGAAATTCAAAAGTATTCAGAGAATAAATGTTTGGAAGGGGTTTGAATGAGCCCACGCATGAAGCACATGGTTAATGGGTAATAGGATTTATCTAGGTGATTCTTTCGAATCTGATACGTATTACTTATTTCGTCTCGAAATTATTATTCAGTTTATATACTAAAATTGAAATCAAAAATTGAACAATACTTTTGGAAAAGTTAAACATATTTAAAAACCTGAGAAAAGTTCAAGTTAACTTCTTCCACTCAAATTCACAGCAGCCTCTTTAATCATCCCTTAAGTTATGATTTATGATCATTATTTTTTTTTCCCCAGGAATGCTACAAATTAACCAACATGCTGTTGGGATGGAGTATATCTAAAGCTCCAAAATCCAAGAAGGATGCATCAGTGGGATTCATGGTACCACTGAAAGCAAAGGAAGCTGGATTTTTGTCTACAGGGCCCGTGATCCCGTTGAATTAATGGTGTCAAATTTAAACTGTAAGCCAAACCACATAAATTTTCCAGCACCCCTCCTCTTTCTACTCCCTCCTGGAACCTCTATCTCTCTTCCACCATAGCTCAGTGCCTCATTTCATTCAGCTGGTCCCTATACCCGACAACTTCTTATTCCAGTTCTTAAGTACTCCTTGGAGCTATTATCAGAGTTCAGAAACATGTTTTATGGATATTATGCCACAAAAATCTAACCTCTGACATACCTTTCCACGTCCCCCGGTATTTTTAACTTGATTATTGACTCACAAAGTTAAGTTTACTATAAACTTTGATGACATTGTAAGGGGATTCCACTGATGGTCACAGGCAACAAGGATGTCTTCATTTGTGTGGGGTGGAGCTTGCGTATGGGATGTTTCCTTTGATTCATTTGTTGGTGCATTTTATGGGATGATGATCATCAAAAGTAAAACCCAGAATGACAAGTGTGTGTATAAATATGTAGATAAAATTCTGTGCACTACTATAGTATGATTGATGGGGACATAAACAATAGTGGTTTTTATTTCTTTACTACCCAACCTCTCTTACTGTTCTAGCAACTAAACATTTGTTGGTAACTAGTATTTCCTTATTTCGGTCTTGCTCACTGATTAAAGTGAGTAGATAAGATGTTATAGAAGTTCATAATTTAGCATTCCATCGAATGCGATGTTAATATACAGGTATCTTTAAAAAAAAAAAAAACATTTGCTGGTCCATAATGACAACAACTAAACATCTGGGAAGAAGATACAGAAGTCTCTTGTCATCAATGTGAAAGAATGGAGTGTTTTAAGATTAGTTTAGGACATATTATGTTTTGGTAGTGTGACATAAAATAGCAAGTGTCACATAAGATTATTGGATGGTGTTGTGCAAGTGTAATTATTAAATTTTTTGTGGGTACAGAGTTGTGAGGACATAAGTAGAGTAGAGAATACTTGATGCAATCGAAAAAATTTTAATTTTGACTCGAGTTGGACCTTTCAACAGCAAAAACACAAAACTATAAGGAAACGAGATGGGCGGGGGGGGGGGGTTGCTTTGTGGAAAAACAGCTGGGTCAGGGCCGGACGACAAACTTGCATCACGTAGCAATTTGACCACTTAGATTTTGTGGTTTGGGAAGTCATCTTTAGAGTTTAGTGTGGAATGAATAATGGTGATTTTGACACTAAACTGAGAGACAAGCTTATGGAATAAGTGCAGCAAAGAAAGTGACCATCAAGCTTGGGTAAAGCCACAAACCCCTCTTTGTGGGTAGTTTTCCTTCAAACATTTGGGGTCCTTTCCCAGCCCAAACAAAATCTCAATTCCCAATCCTTCTTCCCTTTGCTATCTACAAGATTTGGTTTGGTCTCTCAACCAATTGTGCTTTCGATATAGATCCTCAAAATACAAACCTCATTCTCACTTACAAAAAATCAGAACCAAAATGATGCCATTTTGCCACTAACAAACAAATAAAGATGCATATTTGAAGAATAAACCTTAAAAAATGGTTTCAAACAACACAAACGTTGGAGAAAAAGAAACAGTCTCAAGTAAATAAAGTTAACAACTTACAACTACTCTCTGTGTATATAAATAGTCCCCTTGGCAGTAGCTTTCTGGATCGACTCTCGCAATTTCCTCTCCTTCTCTTCCATACGGTTTTTGATCCTCATTAGTTGGAGCAAAGCAAATTTTCTCCACATAATTTCCTCCATCATTGGAACAGCCCTGAACGAACGAACCACCATCACCATCATCAGCTACCACACACTCGTGAAGAGACACAGTATACGTGGATTTTGAAGTAGTAACTGGGGTCTTCCAATCTACTACCGCCCCAGGCCGAGATGAGAAGGTTTCAACCCCAAATTTGTAATCTCCTCAAGAGTAGCCGTAATTCTCTGATTCACATCTTCAATCTCTTTTTGCATCTCATCCAACTTTTTTGCCATCCCCAATCGATGCCGATTTCGCAATTGCCAAATCCAATACACCAATCTAGTATGTATACGACCCTGGTTTCAATTTTCAATCACCAGCGAACCTAATTCCAATTTTCAATCTAAGATTATTCTCGATTTTATTGTGACATAACCCTAAAGTTTTTTTTCATCAAATTTACAATTAAAAGTTAATGAATAAATTAAAATAAAATAGTTGAGAAAGTAAAAAATGTAAATAAGAAATTTGGTTAGAAAGAAAGGAAAAAACAAAAAAAAATAAAAAAATAAAATTGTGGCGTCAACTTTTTAAATATTTTTTGAAAATTGTTGGCGCTTAATTTGTTGTGGTATACTTAGGCTCTACTTGTTTCCTTTTTTTAACATTTTTTCTTCAAATTAGTATATTAATAAATGTCCCACTTCCGCATAATTTTTTACATTTTTAATGCACTTTTTGACATGCTTAATAAGGAAAAATCTAGAAACACACTAGAAAAACGATCCAAACATATATATCCTTAGAAAATCTAATGAAAAAAGTAAACCTGACTTAACGCTAAAGCTTTTTTTCATCATAGTTACAATAAAAAAAGTAATGAATAAACTAAAATAAATAGTTGAGGAAGTAAAAAATGTAAATAAGAAATTTGGTTAGGAAGAAAACAGACAAACGAAAACAAAAAAGGAAAAATTGCGTCATCGACTTTTACGTCAAGATTTTTAAGCTGACGATAAGATTGACGATAGAGGTCATTCGAACCATGAATTTTGAAGTCACTGTTTGAAACCACGCCTTCGAAAATCCAAAAAACAAAAAGAAGATATTAAAACACTTCGTCGACTTTATCGTCGACACAATCTCCCCGACGAATATGTCGACGGATTCTATCATTTTTCCTTTTTTTTTTTTTTTTGTTTTTTTGTTTTCCCTGAATTCGACAAATTCAGTATCCATAGTTGTTTACCAATTTCACGGTTATTATTTTGTGGTATTAAAATGAAATAATAAATCAATATTATTTTCATAACCTTGTGTTGGTTCCCATTAAAAAGACGACAAGATTGTCGACGCTTTTAAACATAACACTTCACATAATGACTAAAAATCCAACATCCCATGATAGGTTTCAAAGTCATTGCATTGTGAATTCGATATAAAACACTCATTTTTCTACCTGAATGGTGATTATGAGAATTTGACTGTAATCTATATGTAATACAACTTCATTAATTTTTTTTTTTATTTTTTCTAAAAACTGTCGGGTTCAACATTTTCTTCATTTTCTTTGTGAAACTAATAAAGGAGTCGGCTTACAAAATCGGATAAACATTAAATGCAATCTCAAATTTTTTTTTATAGAGAAATATAAATATTCAAATATTTTATGAAAATTGTTGGCGCTCAATTTATTATGGTCTACTTAGGCTTTATTTTTTTTTCCCTTTATGTGATAGTTTTTTTTAATTCATATTAGTATACTAATAAATGTCCCATTTCAGTATAATTTTTTAAATTTTTAATACAATTTTTGGCATTTCCAACAAAAAAAAAAATCTAAACACACACACAAAAAAAAAGAAAAGAAAAAACGATCCAAACATATATCCTGAGAAAATGTAATGAAAAAAAGTAAACCTGACATAACGCTAAAGTTCTTTTTATCATAGTTACCATTAAAAGTTAATGAATAAACTAAAATATAACAGTTGAGAAAGTAAAAATTCAAAATAAGAAATTTGGTTAGGAAGAAAACAAACAAAAAAAAGAAGGAAAAATAACGGCGTCTGCTTTTACGTCGAGTTTCGTAAGTCGACGAAACGATCGACGATAGAGGACGTTTGAAGGTTGAATTTTGAAGTCGCCATTCGGAACCACGTCTTTCACAAGCCCGAAAAATAAAAAGAAGATATTAACACCTCGTCGACTTATTCGTCGACATAATTAACCAGACAAAAATATCGACGGATTCTGAAATTTTATTTTTTTATTTTTGTTTTTCCTGAATTCGACAAAGTTAGTGTCCATGGTTTTTTACCACTTTCATGGTTATTGTTTTGTGGTATTAAAATGAAATAATAAATCCATTTTATTTTCATAACCTCGTGTTGGTTCCCATTAAAAAGATCGCGAGATTGTCAATGTTTTTAAACATAACACTTTGCATAATGAATTACAAATCCGATATTTCTTTATAGGTTTCAAAGTTATTGCATTGTGAATTTGATATAACACACTTACTTTTATACTTGAATGGTGATTATGAGAATTTGTCAGAAATCTGCAACCAACTGCAATCTTGAATTTCGTTCAACAAAATCTAAATATTGAATTCTATTTTTTGAAAATTGTTGGTGCTGAATTTGCCATGGTCTACTTAGAAAATTTGATAAACAAGTGAACGAAACATAACGTTAATGTTTTCTTTGTCATAATTATAATAAACTAAAATAAAATATTTGAGAAAGTCAAAATGTAAATAAGAAATCTGGTTTGGAAGGAAAAAAAAAACAAAAAATAAAAATTAAATAATTGTGTCGTCGACTTCATCGTCGAGCTGATCAAATCGACGACAAGGTCTATAAAGAGGACATTTAAATCTTCAACTTTTAAAGTCATCCATGATAGGCATGACCAAGGTTACGCTTTGAAAAGGACCAAACCGGAACTGACCAGAGGTTTAGGAACTGAATCCAAAACCGTAGTTGATGGTTCTCAAACCTGAACTAGAGCTTTTATCATGAACCGGCAGTTTGAAATCCCAATAAACCGCCAATTAACTGTTGCTTTCAATTAAAATAATAAAAATATTCATGTAAACTAATATGTTCCGTAAATTTTCTACTATATTCAACAGCTTAAATTCATATTGATATAGTATCTAAAATACTAAAAGTATAAACATATTACATATAGATGTATATTTGTCTCACCACGTATCCCATCTTCACTACGTTTATCTATTGTTTAACTTTTGATAAATTAACCCTTTTAATCATACTAATTAGTAAATAGACATTACAATGATAATGTAAGTATCATTAATCCAATAATAAGTACATTTTATTTTTATGGATTAAAAAAATTCATCTAAATCAAAATAAAACCACATAAAATTCAAAATAAACCCACATAAAATTCAAAATAAAATCATTACTTAACAAAAACCATGACAAACCCAGAATCAAATCAGAGTCGACAGTTCATTGGCCGGAACTTAAACTTAGAAAGTTCTATGATACCACCCTTCCATGAATTGCGCACTATAGGTTTGTAAATTGTAACCGACAGTTCTTAAACCGCGATCATGCCTGACCTAACAAAAAAATTTATGTTGCTTGTTGTTTTTAATTATTTTTAAGTAATAATCTTATTATAACACAAATATACTACTCTGTACTACACAAATATGTATTTCATACGTATTTGATATTGAAATTATTGTCTCCACTTATTCGAATCTAAGTTGGATAAGTTTTTCAATGGTCATGCTCCTGAGAGAAAATTCTCATAATAAGTATTTTCGTACATGCATGTTACATATTTAATTATGAAAACAAATCACATGATTAAATCTTAAAATGATAAAGACAAACAACTTTTTAAATTTTTCCTACTCAAAAGCGCACCAAACCAGCCATGCAACTACGACCAGAGACGTGAACTCTTGAAAAATTTTCCACCTGATTACTCCATTTCTTCCCTCTCTCAATTCTCCAACAGAACAAAAAGTAAGAAATTCTGATGCCTCACTGCTTTCAGTATAGTAAAAATCAATAAATTCCATGATGATTTTCAACTTAATACCACTAGCTTATCAGCAATTAATTGAGCCATTAGAAGACAAGAATGAACAATGACGAGACCATCCCTGTGATTGATAGCTAACACAGTCGAATTTGACAAGATAATCAGCCACTGTTTATGCCCCCATCAAGTGTTTTCCAGAAATGCCAGACAGCCTTGTTTGTTTGTTCCCTCCTCAATGATAGTAATTAGTCAAGGATTTATACAGAATCCTAATGTTCACATCTGTAGCAAATTATGCGGGTTAGTCTTAGGACGAGGAGTTCAGTTACACGGTCACGGATTCAGATTCAACCAATTATAAATACAAATTTAAATCAGTCACTTTCTCCCTATAAAAAACGAAACCACATACATAATGGAAGTTTGGTTAATGCATGGTAATCTTTTTGTGCATGAATAAACGTTAACACCCGTGCGAGCTCGTGAAAATTGATGATCACCAATGATTTTAACCATGTTGTAATTATGAACGTCCGGACACCAATTCACTTTTCTTTGGTACCACTTTCGGTTTGATTGCTTTGGTTTGTTATGAAAGATAGAGATAACACACACAAAGGTAATATGAACTAGCATTACCGACTACTGCAGCAAATGGAGAAATATTTCCATCTGAATCCAAATGGTCCCATATTACTTGGCATCCAACCTAATTTCATCATACATACGAGAATCACACCTCTCCCCTTTCTCCACTTTTTGAAAAACATGGCTGATGGGTTTGACATGATTGTCACCTTTGGAGAAAGTTTAGGTAGGAAAAAAAAAAACACCCATTGTAATGATTACTACTAAATTGGAATTAGACACTAAAAATAGATACTTGTAAAAGAAAACAAAAAAATAGGAAAAAGAAAAAAAAAAAAAAAAAACCCCCTGTTGTGGTCAAATGATCGGTCCAGGTAAAAGACCCACATTCCGAATTATGAATGTAGATCCACCCGTTTGGTCAAAATTAATTTACCTAATCATTACCGTTAAAGATTTCGCGCCATCAATATTTCCGAAGGGGTTTTTTCATCATAGATAAAATAGTACTACTGCCCTTTGTGGCCTAAAGTTAGAGAATCTTTGATTTTTCTTCCTTGAGATACACCATCTTACAGGGCCCGCTAGCTAATCTTAATTAAGCCATTTTACTACAGAAGGGTGTACGTTGTTCATGCAAAAGTCAAAATGTGGACAGATGGATTTTCTTTTAGGATCGTCAAATTCCTGATTCTTTTCTACTCAGTTCATCATGATGCATCTGTCCATGAAGCAAAAATAGGAACATGAGGCCTCAGCTGAGCTGTTGAAATCCAAGAATTCGGCAAATGAGGAGGCGAACGAGCCGAGTGCAACTTGGAATTGGAGGAAGATGATGCTATGGCTGCTTGAGGCATTGCGAAATGCACTTGGAGATTATTGTTTTTATCAGGGCTGCCTTCTCTGGAACAGCTCACGCTCGTCACTAGCGAAGAGGCTTCCGAAAAGTGAGCAATCATTTTGCCTGATCCTGCAGCAAACTCTTGCTGATGATGATGATGAGCATTGTGATGATCAAGTGTTTCTATTCCCATCAATGCATTGATGGCCATAGGGTAATTGTTTGAAGAAGTCCTGAAACCTTCAACCAGAGGATTTGGCTTTTGAAGAGGCTGAGAAAACTGATGAAGTGCCATACTCCAATCCAATGCATTGTCATTGTTTTCCCTTGTCACATTGGCTGCTTCCTCTTTCGGGTTGGGATTCGAAGGGTTCTCATGAACTGATATCTCATTATTACTCGATTCTAGGTTTTTATTCCGGCGCGCCAGATCACCTGCAAGAAGGGTATTGCTTGCCATGATCCTTTCTACATCATACCTAGATATGTCGAAATTGGTTACAGCATTTACGCCTCGAAACTTGATTGCGGCTACATCATAAGCCTCTGCAGCTTCCTCTTGCGTGGCTGTCATTTGTAACAATCAAATTAGTTCCTCTTTAGAACTCTATATACACACAGATAAGTTAGCAATCAAATGGACTTGAAACACCTAAAGGCAGTGGCAGGCAACAGAGACACGGAATAACAATATGAAACAGGAAAAAAGAAGTAGTATATTTTTCAAGTTTAAAGATTAAACTCACTGAATGTTCCCAAGTAAAGGTCTTTGTTTCCGGCCACTCTGCCAATCCTAGCTTGCCATCGACCATGTTGATGATGTCTGCTAAAGGAAAATGCAACAAAAGAAATTCAGAGGAAGAAATATTCAAATACACTGTATAAGTTATGCTAATTTATACAGTCTATTCAAAATTCAAAGACCTCGTAACTCCTCTGTAAATGGAAGCTCCTCTTGAAAATCCACTGCTTTTCCTGCCATTAGAATAAGCGAAAGGTAAAAAAATTTTGATGCATCAAACATAACATCATGGATCAAACACTATGACATTAATCACTACCTCCTCAAGTGAGCAACATATTCTTGCCTTGACATGTTCTTCATTTCTTCGACTTCTTGTTGGTAGTTTTCCAGCTGCAGAGTCATCATTAAACCAAAAGGAGGTCAAGAAATATGGAAAAAGGCAAGAGACCATAATTTCAAGTAAAGATGTGGAAATTATTACAGGGAAGTTGATGTGAGTCGAAGGACCCCAATACTTGAGAGCTGCCAAATCATAAGCCCTCGCAGCTTTTTCTTCCATATCATAACCACCTAATCAATATTGCTGAAATGATTAGTCCCACACTTACAAAAAATGGTCTCTACTAATCAGTTTGAAAATGAAAATGGAAAATGCCAAATTTACCTAAATAGACTGGAATATAACACCATTGTTGGTTGAAGAAACCCCGGCAGAAAAACATCACAAACATTAGTAACTACATGAAGAACGTGGAAAGAAAAAAAAAATTGAAAGCATTCCATTGTTCACTAACCTTGCCTTCCTTTTCTGCTCTGCCCTTCTTTTTTACAGCTGTTGTCCCAGAGATGAGCTTCATATCTTCCAGTCCATCTGTGCCTGCCATGATCAATTGAGCAAAAACTTATCCAAATTCTGAGTTAAAAGAATGTAGAATGAATCGCATTTGAAAGTTACAAGATCTAACCTTGTTACACCTCTGTATTGTGAGGTTCTCTGCCCAAATGTATCAATAGACTTCCTGTGAACAATTTGCTTCTGATCGGACTTTTCAGGCCCTCGTTTCTTGTTCTCAGTAGCCACACACTCGGTCACGGTGGGAGAAATTTGCTGGGAATGTGAACCAGTAACACAACTAGATTGGGAACCCGGGCTCATTGACAAGCTCAGAGACTGCAAATCTCCATACCCAATTGCAGCACTAATGCAACCAGATTCCCCACCATTTTCCACTATGCATCCAATCAACTTCTGCTCCAAACTCCCCTGATCAGTTAAGTAGTTCCTCGGCCCCCAATTCTTCAATCCAGAAGGGTCATTATTCGGCAAAGCCGGCAGCGCAAGATTGGTCGGTGCACCAGGCTCAGCTTCCTTGTTTCCCTGATCCTGTGAAGTCTGGTGAAATCCATTGTTGCCTCTGAATGCAGAGTACCCTGCATATTGTTGAACCTGAATTTGATGTTGCCTGGAGCTGTTGAAGAAATCTTGACTGTTGGGCTCGTGATGATGGTTCAGAGTTTGATGGTAGTACATGCTGTCAAGGCTGAGAGCCATTGCATTAGGCCCTCCTCTTTCACCAGCTGCTGCTGCTGCTGCTTCATAATGATGGGTCCCCATTGTTGTTCCCCCGAAGAAATTTTCAAGCTTTGGAGTTGAAGTTGAACTACTACTAGCCATACCTACACACACAGTAAAAGTCAAAACACGGAAGATTCCTCAGGCTTGAGCCGAGCTAAAAAAACAACAAACTTAACTAATTAATATAACCAAAAGCAGAAAAACAAAAAACGTCAAAAACCCAAAGAAAAAAAGAAGCTAATAAGCTATTTCAAGTGAAAAAAAGTTTGAGAAAGAAAACCTTGTGGTTGAGACCTATTCATGGCCTCCATTATGCACAATGAACCATCAGACTTGAGTGGCATCACAGTCAGTGATGGGTAGAATCCAGCTTCAGCATGGTTGTCACCTTCCATTCCACAGTAAATCCCAGAGTAGTTAAAATGAGGAGATGGATGCGAAAAGCTTAACTGGACTGAACTAGAAGAAACTGCATTATTATGAGTAGTACAATGCAGAGGTTGAGGATGATGATGGTCAGTTGTGCCTTCCTCCATATTGTTCATTTGAGGAGACAAAGAAAAACCCAACCAGTTCTGGCTGCAGTTGTTGTTGTTGTTATCATTACTGAGAGACTTCATTACAAGTAAATGAATCTCCTTTTCCCGCTTAGAAGTTACAAGAGATTCTTAGGTAGTGAGTGAGTGAGTAGAAACATAAGTTGAAGTAGTGTTTTTTTTTGTAGGGAAACTCAAAGCTCACTCAATCATTGGGAAAGAAATAAAACTAATCATGTTGCTCTCAATTTTTTTTTTCTCATCATCTCAAAATGCGCCCTTCTCCCATATGAAAACTAACAAGTCAATTTTGTTTCGTAGCTGCAGACTTTAAGTAGATGGAAAATCTTGCCAAAATCTAAAACAAAAGCCGAAAACTCACTGAATGGCGGAATCAATATGAGTATGAGGTCTTTTTCCTTTTACTTTCTTTCTCTCTTTCTCTCTCTCTCTCTCTCTCCTCGTTCTGAAAAGATTTCTAAAGTGAACAAAGCGAGTCCCTTTAAACTAAACAAAAAGAATGAGTTCCAGCAAGCAATGCTGGGCATCCTTCCTGCATTCCATAGGGATCCGTGTTAGAGAAAGACAACTTCTTTTGCTTTATTTTTCCTCCCTCTCCGCTCCACACCTTGCTTCTCTCTTTTCCTTTAATCCTTTCCGTATACAATACACACACACACACACACACACACTGATGATAAACACAGTAACATTCACTAGCTAAAATCCAAGTCATTGAAGAATAATATATTTGACTTTAAACAATGCCATCATCCATACTATTAACCATCATGCAAAACAGGGGATCAAATTTACTACCCTGCTAAAATTAGCCTGGAGCTGTGTCTTATTTCCTACCAATTTTTTCCCCTCCTTTAAAGTCCTTTACATCAACACCTGCTTGTCATAATATAGATTAACATGTAACTGTAGCTAGTACTATCTTTTGGGTCAAAAAAAGACTCAAAATTTGACACCATATAAAAAGTTCTGTTGAGATACTGAATTTTATCTTGTGGAGAAATATTTTAGCCGTTGGTAAATTTAGTGAAAGTGGAAGAAGGTGAGCCATAGTAACGCACGATATGATTTAACAATCAATTAGGTGTTTTGTTTTTGTTGCCTTTTTACAATCCCACAGGGATCAGAGAAACTTATTTAGCTAGATTTCATAGGGCAGAAGACAAAGTGTCCATCTGCAACAGATAGTAGTACATTAGTCCTCTGATTCAAAAAAAAAAAAAAAAACTGGACCTACTAGTTTTTCACTATTGTCATTATTATCTATTTATTTCTTTTTGCTTAGGTATGTGGACGTATGAAAGGAGGAGTAATTCCTTTCATAGGTATCTACTACTAGTACTCCCTAGCTTCTGCTACTTGGTCACTGCAGAATCCAGTCCAGAAGTCTGTTTGACAAGTCCAAACGATGCCGTCTAGCTTCTCTAGATACTGCCTGGATTGATATGTCCATTTTATCCACTTGGGAACAAAAAAATAAAAACACTCCCCTTTGACTACTGCCAGCATGCTTGTGCTGCTTTCCAAGCAATAAAAAACACTCCCTTTGCTTACTTTCATCTCATTGATGCAGGCTGAAAGGCTGAAACCTTATGTAAAATTACAGTATTGGGTGCCCTCCTGGCCAACCAGCTAAAGAGGAAAACAAGAAAAAGGTTAAGAAATAAATCAATGTACATTCTTCATGATGGTTTTGCAATTTTGTTTTTTTTTTTTTTTGGTGGGATGGTGGAAGAATGGCTGCACAAGAACAATGCGGGGTTAATAAAGGAAATCATGATTAATCTAATGTGTAAATAGACATTTTGGGCTATAAATTAATGAACACATTTGGTAATAAACATGAACTCTATAATCCAAAAGAAAAGAGTGATTTGCTGCACTAAATCCGTATAATTCTGTGTCACTCAGGAGCTGGATGCCAATTTAATTGTCTCCTAAATAAGTCCCACAAAGAATTCAGGCTTGTTTGGCCAATATTTTGTTTTAGTTTTTGTTTTAGTTTTTGATTTGTGTTTGAGATATGATTTAAAATGTGGTTTGACATAAAATTTAAAAAGTTATTTGGATAGTATTAGAATTTGTGTTTGAAAGGTGTTTGAAAAGATAAAATGAGACAAAAATGCAAAATAAGTGTTGGCCAAATAAGCCCAGTGTCTTTTAACTGTAATTCACAGTTCTGGACATGTACATTATGTGCAAAAATCTTTTTTACATGACAATTGTTAATGGAGGAGACAGATTTTCTTGGGGAAATGATTTGGTTTTCAAAAAAAGGGGAGAGGTAAAAGAGATATTTTACTAAAGATCGAGTATACGGATGTGTGTGAATAGTATTAGGTCACTTTTTTCTTCTTGTAGTAAAGTGTGAGTAAACACACACCAAAATTCACTAGGAACCACGTTGGAAATTAACCAAAAATGGTGGTGGTTTCCCTTTGCTAATGCAACCAAAAAACTGAAGCAAATGGGAAAGTGATGAGAAGTGCAGGTGGAGCCAACATTTCATATATTCTTCTTTGTCTGCTTTAAATAGGGGCCCTGAGTCATCAACCCCTCTTTCTTCCCATGTAATTTCATTTTTGGGGTCCCTTTACTATACTTAGACCATTTTCATCTCAAAAACTCATATTCCACCCTCTAAGTTTATAACCTATTATGACTTATCTTGTTTCTTTTTGTCCAGACGTTTTTGCCTTTTAACTTGTTTGGTCATATGCACTTACTCCAAATTCGTGTCTGTGTCCTTATTTTGCTGTGTGGAAAGATCAAAGAAGGGGGTGTTGGGAAATGGGGAGGAAGAAAGCAATTTAGAAGCAAGAAAAATGGTCCTCACTGTGCAGTACTGATATGATTTTGAATACTACATCTTGAAACTTTATGCAGTCTCTCAATTAAAACATAGGAATCCAGAGTTCATACTTAACTCCCTTGTCCGGATAACACAAAAAAGTTGTTGGATGTCACTGTTTGAAGTTTAAGAACTTGAAGTTTAATGATGATGATTTTTGGTACAGCAACATCGAATCACATACACTGATCAGCTCTGTGTACATCCTTTTCCATGCATAATTTAACAACACAGAATGAGAGGGACATGCGATAACTTTTCCTACTTAATTTTGAACTTAGTTCTAAAGAAGAAATCCCTAACCCATAGGGGTGACATTGAGAGCAGCGAAAACAATCCAGTCATGTGACCGTACACAATTTGTTTTGGTGGTTTAGGACTCAAAACTTTCTTAGCAACATGTCCAGCCAAAAGGGTGGCATCAGTTGATTTGCAACCTTGGGAAGCATTTGCTCTTTGAGCAATGGAATCCTTAAAATCCTTGTAAAGTTTCCAATCAGTGTTTACTAATTTATCCATCGAATTGGTACCAAAATTTGATCTAACAGCACCCGGAAGTACTAAAATCACGTCGATATTAAAAGGGCGCAGCTCGACGCGCAATGCATGAGACATGGCATGTACTGCTGCCTTGCTAGCACAGTATGAGCCTGCCCAAGGGGTTGGCACTGTCCCAACGACGCTCCCAACATTCACGATTTTGCCGCATTTTTGGGAGACCATATGAGGCACAACGTGCTGAATTAACCTCAACTGTCCCAAGGCGTTGATTTCGTAGGCTTTCCTAACATCATCTAAAGGCGATTCAGCTAAAGGTCCAGGACTTCCTATACCTGCATTGTTGATCAAGATGTCAATTCTGCTGCATTTTGAAATCACAGAATTCACAGCAGATGAGACGCTGTGATCTGATGAAACATCAAGCTCAAGCGTCTCAATATTGTTGTCATCCGACTGCAAGTCTAACATATCTTGCATGCGTTGGGGGATGTCGGACGCAAAAACACGACATTTCTGCTCGGCAAATGCCTTGCAATACTCATAGCCAATGCCTCCTTTGGCACATCCTGTTATTAGAACAACCTTCTCTTCACTCATGCCTTCCCTTTGTGTATGATCAGTGGCAGTTAATTCGACCTGGGATCGGCCAGACACTTATAGACACATAAATCATGTAAATTAGATTATTGTGTACTCCGCCTCTCTTGATCTTGGCAAGAATAATGCTATTTAACTCTAGAATATGCTTACAGCTTATTGGAGGCATGCATAAAATCAATATCAGCCGGCCAATTCGAGAGGGTCTTAGCATGTACTCCCTCCCGGTCATTTTGATTTTGTCCTACGGATTACTTAGGATGGCTTTTTAATTGAGAAAAAAAAACTTTAAACATATATTTTTTACATTTATTGTATTCTTCTAATTATTAAGAAATATTTTTAAGATTTTTATTTGATTTAAAAAGATATTCTAGGTGAAATTTAGAACAAATCAAAATGTCTTATAATAAGGACCGGAGAGAGTATGTTAAACGAACTTTTATATTAGAAAATTCCGGGTACATAGTATTAAGAGGATTATTCGCCACAAATCATAGAAAATGCTAAGAAAAATCGGAAACGTGAGACAACTTACAGGACAATCAAGTGCTTTTCAAGATTTTCCAGAAGGGTTAAATTCGAAACAATAGATAAAGCCATGGATTTACGGCAATATTGAGAGATTTCAGGATTATCTTTACATAAACAAAGAATCTTAGAAAAGATATCAAGTTAATTGAATGGAACGGTGCAAATCATCAACAACTTAACGGCAATAAATAAAATCTCTGCAGCACAGCAGGGTAACTAATAGGTCATTGGTAAAGATATTTCCTAACAATTAAAATGATTTGCAGAGTGATTGTTATATTTGGAAAAAGTACACACTGTCCATAAGTTCCTGGCAGGGCACTTTACATTTATTAATTGGGGAGAGGGGTTTTCAGGACTATTTCAGGTGGGAAAACCCAGAAAATCCCGAACAAAATCTATAAAAATAAGATCACAGAGTAGTCACAATGGTGGGAAAATTACGCAATAAGGATAGCATAAATTAAGATGATGAGAACGACTAGAGAAGCCCGCTGGTGGTGGCCTGTGGATTTTGCATGAAAACAAAAAGGGCTATAAGCTACTTGCCCTCTGTTTTAAGGTCCCCCAGAGAGAGACCTATCTCCCACACCATTAAAGACCTAAAAGTTTTGTGATAAAAACTTGTATTTACATTTTAAACTGCTCCCTCTTTACTTTTCTTTTGCTATTTCAATGGCCCATCTCTCTGTCTCAAAGAGTCTAAAAACTCTCTATACAGAGAGGGAGTGAGTGTGTGAGTGTGTGTGTGTATCTGCTTGAAATGTCACCTTCTAATTAGGCATGTATGTCTTGTCACATTCACCTTAGATTCTCTCATATCTTATACCAGTAGAATTTAACATGCAAAAAAAAATCGGTTCACAGAATACCTCATCTCCCAAATTTTGTTCTTTGCCTTCCCCAACGGAAACACGAAAAAGAAAGGAAAAAAATGTATCGTATATGTACAAAGTGTTTCATGGCAACTGCTTGCGCATGCAATTTCCAGTATACTAAAGATGAAAAAAAAGAAGAAGAAGAAGATGGAAGTTTGGATTGTAGTGTGGACTTTGTTGACTTGGATGGACCATGATCAAAAGACAAAAGAAAAAACCACATTTAATTTCCCATCACACAAACAAAGTTTGGCTCTTTTAGTTTAGGACCCTTTTTGAATGCTCCAGACACAGAGATTCATTCCCTTCTCTGAATTACTAATCTGACGGGTCACAAGCGGGTTTTGAACTTGAGTCAACTTACTACAAGATTCCCTTACAAAAAAATGATTTAAGTTCTATTATATGACAACTAAATGAATGAAATCCCTATGCTAATAAATACTACTAGTAAATACATTACCGTAACGACTCTGTTTGTCTATCTCTATTCTAGCTTTTCTTTTTCTTTTTCCTTTTTTAAAAAAACAATTAATCCTGCAAGAAGAAAAATGAACAAGAACATGAAAATGGATGTGATGGAGGTTGGGTGTGGGGGGAGAAGGTGGGGTTGCCATAAAAGAAGATTCTAAATCCGTCATCGGAGTGTCTTTCATGTCTGCAGCTACCCGGCCTCGGAAATGGTTTTCATTTCCCTTGTACTATTTTTATTTTACAACCCCCTTTCTCTTTCACACCTCACCAATCTCTCTCTCTCTCGCTCTCTCTCACTTTCTTCTCCTCTAGCTTACCAATCTGCTGATGTCACCATTTTTGACATTCCGCTTTCTTTTCTTTTTTTTTTTTTTTTTTTTTTGGCTATCACTAAACCTTCGATAATAGGAACCCTAAATTTATTATTTTCTAGAGTTATTGCCATAAAATAATTTATTAATTAAAAGAGTTTCTATAATAAGACAGTAATTAAAATATGATTATTACCATACAAATAAGATCCAGTAGGCAACCTTACAAATTAATCAACAAAACAAAAGACGATAAAAGCTTCATATACATTTCAAGGAGGAAAAAAAGACAGTTTTTTTTTTTGTTTTAGATCAATACTATTAATTAATCGAATTGATGAGATTTTATATTCTAGGATTTTTTTTAAAAAATTATTTAATTAATTATCTTAAATAATTTGTAGTGCTAGCCCTAAGTTTGGACCGGAGTATTAATTTAGTGATATTTTGTTGCGAAATGACTCCAAACTCACTTATACTCTGAATCTTGGGTTTTTGCGAAGAGGCCCATAAGTAAGTCATAAGATCCATTCTAGTTTACCTCAAACTGTTTAATATGGAAGAACTAGGACATATGGGCCTAGAGGAGGAGTGAGCCCATACAGATTTATTCGGGTCTTTCCCTACGATTTGGAAAACATTACTCTCTTTTTTTTTTTGGGAAAAGGGAAAGCATTATTTTGCTTAATATATTTCAATTTTTTCTACTCTTAATTTACTCCATTTGCTTTTATCTTGACGCTCGAGTAAGAGTAATTGCCCTTTTTTGGTAAAGAAACATTGCTATTATTTCTCTTAAGTAATAACTAGATCACTGAAAGAATATAGTAAAATCATATTTCCTTTCCAAAATTAAATTAAACCTCTCCATGTCTATTTTATTAGGATCTTGCGCACAAATTGAAGTCCCCCAATTTTTTATTCCCTAGGAAAAGAAAAACGAAGATCGTTCCTCTCTATTTCGCTGCCTCCAGCAAATAAACTAATGGAGAGAACCAAATCGGTGAATGATAATTATAACACTAGTGAATTTCAGGAGGAGGAGAAGATTTATTTCTCTCGAGGACGTGGGCCGGGTCTTGCCGCTGCTGCTACCATGGCTAAGCCGAAGAAATCCAGAGTGGAGTGGACGACGGAATTGCATCGAAAGTTTGTGGATGCTTTTGAAATTCTACAACTACGAGCATTGCAAGATCCAGAAAGTCAGTCTCACTTCTCCCATGCATGTTGTTGTTGTTTGTTTGTGTGATCAATGCATCTTTTTATAATTTTTTCAGCTTCTAATTGTGATGCATAGTTTGACTTGTCCATCTTCTCTCTCTCTCTCTCTCTATCTGTATAATAAGGTCTTGTGAGTTTCGAGTTTAAGATTGATGCAAAGCAGCTTGATACACATGGTACAAGTTACTCAAGATTAAAGATTTGCGTACTTTAATAAAATGCTTTAGTTATGTTTTTTTTTTAAAAAAAAAAAATTCTTCAGGGGAATTTATTGACTAGACTAGAAGATTATGCACATATAAGCTCTTGCAGTTTAAGTGGAAAATTCCCTAGTGATCTCAAAACTTGATTCCGTTGATACATTTTATTTATTTATTATTAATTTTTTTTTTTGGGGGGTGGTTTCGCAGTTGTAGTAGGTCCAGAGAATATTCGCAAACTCATGAATGAGCCTCAGTTGACTCGAGTAAACGTAGCAAGTCATCTCCAAGTGAGTTCTATGTATTTTTTTTTTAACTTTGATTCTAAATTATTATTATTAAATAAAAATTTCAAACTAAACAATTATTTCATGACGAAAGGAGAAAAAAAGTATTTAGAGCATACATTAAATGTTGTCCATACTCTATTATCATTGTACATGGCAGTTAAACTTTTTGCACCAACATCGCAGAAATATAGGAAGAATCTAAAGAAGCAAAGTAAAGCAAAGGAAATATCATTACCGCGGGAGAGCATGGCAATGGGAAACGATGGCTACAATTCCCATACAAACCATTCTTTCCAATATACTCCAACTTTTTCACACATTAGCCACCTTCACCAAAACCACCTTCAACGACACAACCAAAATCTTCTCCCACCCTTTCCAGACGTGTATCAGCGTCACAGTCAACCATCAAACGTTGTATCACAACCATGTGTTTCTAACATCGGCGGGAATGAATACCGACTCATTGAAAATTTCCCAAATCAAAGCTCAAGCATTTTTCCATCTCAACCTACTTGGCAGATTGGATCATTTCCAAGTTGTTGTTTGCCAGGTAATTTAATATTTTTTACTATTTTCGTGCCATAATAAGACTCGAGTTTGTTTTATGTAATCAGATAATGTAGCTTAATTAACCATTTATTGTTTGCTCAGCAGATTATGGAAGGAGAAATTTGGGCATTATAAATGACCTTAGAAGTTCAGCTAGCAATCTATGGAGTAATAATACTACAATCACTAATCCTTTGATGACCAACATGCGAGATCATTCAGACACATTCAAACGAAATTTGCAGATTTTTAGTGCGGGATCAGTACCAAGTTATTCAAACAACGACAATGAACGTCGTTATGATGATTCGCACGAAGAAATCCAATCCCTACTAGGACCGGTATCTATATATTTAACTACATTAATTTTTTTTTATTTGTTTAAATATTAACTTTATTTTTGTCATCTCTCCGATGCAATGCAGTCATACGATGATGAAACACCTTCCTTGCAACGATATCTTCGACAACTGTGACGAATTGTTTTCCATAGAAACTATGGTCACAAAGATTTTAGTGCTTGTTGGCTGCATTTCCTAGATTTGATTAGATGCGTAAGTCAGATTAGATGGGTAGCGGACAACTTAGTTGATTGAAGAATGGATGATGCTTAAGTTTAGATTGAACTCAAGTTTAACTTTTCTCCTTTCTTTTTTTTTTCCCCCAACAACATTTTTGTGCTTACATTTTTTTTTTTAATCATACACTTCAATTCTTAGGTTTCATGAACTGTATATTGGTCTACAAACGAGTATTATACATTTCAAAATATATATATATATATATATATATATATATATATATATATATATATATAAACGAGAAGTATTGGTCTACAAGGTTTATCATAGTCGTTCCAGCTCAAAGATCCATCTTTTTTAGTGAGAAGGACAAAGCGCCTAACCTTCATATTAGATGTGATTTTGTTCCCCTTAGGCTGGGACTTTGCAGCAGACATTGATAATGTCATCTAAAGAAGCATGATCACCGGTCCCTTCATCCTTCCTAGCATACAGGAGTTCTTTTCCCTTGAAGACAAACATCCCTCCCTAGTAATAGAGATTTTCAGAACGAAAACTTGTAAATTCAATAAAAGGCAGATTTCAAGAGTTTTAATAGTGCACAAAAGGATACGTTTCAACCTGTTGCAAGACACCACTTCTATCGTCCGGAGTGGCTTCAATTGTGTAGTTCTTTACGGCATTTCTCAGCGTTTCATACCTCGAGAAAACTTTAGCCTGATAGATCAGAGTTGAAAAAAAAAAATCAAAGTTTATCTGACTTATTTGGAGACATGTTATGAACAAAGATTAACTTTTTACATTTAAAATTGACGACGAAAGAACATGGGAAGAGAGATATTACACTTGCAGGATTGAAAAATGTCCGACCAAAACCATAATACAATCCTAAGACGTCATATGCCTGAATCACAAAGCATCAAGGTTATGAAGATAAGAAATGGAGGAAAATCAAAATGGGCATGGTTAAGAGGGGAAAAGATATTACCTTACGATCAGGATCAGCATACAGGCAATCCATAGGAAACGGCAACTGGGAACACAATACATGTACAGAAACATCAGATCAAACAATAAGATGCAGAACCAATACTAAGCAAATAGTATTCCTTAACTTAAAACTTGAGATATCTGTATAAGACCACTAAACGCCTTCTCTCCAGCTGGTTCAGTGAAAATACACGAAATACACATCAAAATCACACATCCATCTATGAACTCAACCTCACATTCCAGTCATATTACTGACAGATTCACAAACACTAATGAAGCCAAAGTATTATGGACAAGACTCCATGAACCTATCAAATAATGCCTCCAAGACTCGATCAGAACATAAAGCTACAGGAAAAAAATTGAGGAACTTCCATTTTGCATTTTAGATACATTCTTAATGTGTCAGAATATGATATAGATAGATAGAGTGAAGTTTATTTGTCACGGTTCAGCCCATCTTCAATCCCTTCTTTCTTCCCCCATTTTCCCTTTTGCAGCTAGCTCATAGCATGTATTATTTCTTGGAAGTGAAACTAATAAAAGGTCAGTTGTTTGCATCTAAACATGCTAATCCAAGCACATTATGGCTCTGTTTGGTTTCACCTTCCACAAAATAGCTTATAAATCCATTTCACAGAAACTACCATGGATAACACAACCAGAGGATTTACGCTTAAATATCTTCCAAACAAATGGCAATAAACCATAAAAAGAAACTGAATATACCCTCTCAGCAAGAATGCGAGCTTTGTTGGGAGCACCCACACCAACAGCAATTAACTTGACACCAGAAGAGTCGAATATCTCTTTAGATTCTTTTAGCACCGAAGCAAGTTCCCAGCTTTATCACAAAAACACCATCAAAAGCATAACTCTAATCAGACCATACATGGAATCGGAGGGCGAGTTGAACAAAGAAGACGCATTGGAAAACATGGATTGTATACATTGTTTACCAGCAAGGACATCCAAAATGTCTCAAAAGGGCAACAACTGCTAATCCCTGGAAATAAACAACAGCGCTTATGTTGGTTAGGAACATTAATTTGATATATGAATCATTTTATAACTTAAGAGTTTCGATAAGTAATCAATAAAGAGGTCATATATTATAAGTAACTCCGTGTCACTTTCATGATTGCTGTTGTGACCTATTTCAACTATAACTGAAAGTTCAGCTATGATGTGATATATGAGAATGTAAAATCACTTTTGTCTCACTCATTTCTTATCCAAAGGTTCGGAATTCAGAATGACGGGACAGCTATGAGATGTTCAATAGCCGACCATGGGTTTTCTTTTTTAAAATAAATAAACCTTTTCCAAGTATATTGAAGTATGATAAGCTTATTACTTTTACAGAACAACTTTCGAGGTTCTACAATGTGCAATTCTTATCATAATTCTTAGTATAATCATGGAAATGCATGTATTCAAGCTTATAAGTAAAATTTCAAGAGAATTGGGAAATCGATTGAAAACAAAGGAAGAACAATAAGCTCTGTTAGATGTGTCAATTAGTTGCACGGTTTACCTCATTTTGATCCCAGAGGTCCTGAAACTTTACGGCCTGACCAGAGGCGGTGAAGATGCTAACGTCACCCAGCAAGTCGCCAATGTTTCCATCAAAGCCGGAGACCGATGATGCTTGGACTGCGAAATACGGGCGATTTGCAGTTCTGTGCCTGAGAGGGCGAAGAAGCCGATTACCGGGATTAACGGAAACTGAAGAAAGGGGCGGCGAGAATACTTGGCCGTGAGATGACGGAGAAACAGGGTGCAAAGGCGAAGATTTTAATTCAGTTAATTTTAGGGCTTGCGAGGTTATCATCGAAGCCATCGCTTGAATTACCCTGCGTAATCTTCAAGGCAACTCAGTCCGATTTCCCGAAAAGTTGTCGAAGAAAAGAGGAATGGGAAAGTGGAGTCGAATCAACGGATAGAGGAAGAAGATAGAAGAAGAAAACGGCGACGGATGGAAATCTTTTTGTGTGGCGGGAGAAAAGTTTCCAACTTGGCAATTGCTGATATACACGTAGCGTGTATTAATTTCACAAAGTCAACAGTTTAACATAAATTTTCTTTTTAAAAAAATACAGGTTAAAATAAGATAGTAAGAAGAAAATTACAGAGTTTATTTTGGTATCCTTTTGATTTATTTATTTATTTATTTTTTTGAAAGGAACCCTTTTGATTATTATCGTGTAAGATAAGGAAATGACGGCACAGGATCCTCTGTGCCATTTTCTGTGACACAATTCAATTATTTCTTATAAATAAACTATATAATTTGTGTTAATACATATACTATAGTCACATATTTTCAATGTAGATAATTTTCATATTCTTATTTTATTTTTTTATATCAATGTTTTATTTTTTTATGAAATTTGACTATTTTTATTGAGTTTTTTTTAACTATAATAATTAAAATAAATAAGCCATACCTGAAAAAAAGTGAACCTTTAGTCCTAAAATATACAAGTTCAAAAATGATTGTAAATGATATATGTATTAACACAAATTATATAATTTATGAGTAATTATATTATTTCACAGTGAGTGTCACGAAAAATAGCACAAAATATCCTGTACCGAAAATGACTACAAAACACAATTGTGTACATCTAGACAACCTTTTGGAGAGGACATCTAGACACTCCAACTGTTTGTGGTTCATTTTCCCAATTAACTTTGTCACGATTATCTTTGCACATACTGTAAATTGTGTGAAAGTGTTTTTCGACATTCTTACTGAATTAACCGTGTGCTTGCTAGTTCCTTTGCTATTTGCATCTGATACTAATATGTCACATTCCCTCTTGTTAAATTATATGCATCTCGCTATTTGTTCTAGGTTTATTACGCATTCAGTTTGAAATCATTGTTGAGACTAATATTAATTTGAACCAGGTAGATCATTTTTAAGAGATAAAACTCTCAACAAATTTTTAATCATTAATGCATGTCTATACTTGGATTTGATTCCCGGTTATAATGGATCTAATTCAATACATTTACCACTCGTACGAAGTGATTCTTGTTAAAAAAAAATTGAGCTGCCACAACGTGGACTTGGTCTACTTGCGGTAGAGGTGTTCTAGATTGAACTCATTAGTGAATGGGCTTATGGGGAGTCCAATGCCTTCTTGGTTTTGTATGATTGGCTCTATTATGTGGGTAGTAACCCAAACTTATGTCAATATTTGTCCAAATGATGCATCATAGTCAAAGCGCAGCTAGCCTCCAATTTCCAAACAGAGTATTACAAGAGCGTCGGAAAATCGATCGATTGATTGATTGAATCATTGGAAATCATCACTTCGATGTGGCCTTGGATTTTTGAACATACAACCGACAAATGCAAAAGAAAAATCTAAGCCAAAAATCTACACCAGCCATGTAACAACTTAACGACGTGCGTACTCGGGAGTAGTAGTGTTTTGCAAGAAAAATCATGTCTTAAATTTTAATTTACCTGGAAAAATGAAAGCTCTGTATTTCTGTAGAAAATAACATAAATCCAACGTTAATTAAAAAAACCTCATCACCACACACCCCCCATGAGGAGACAAAAGTAGATAAAATTGGCCTAACATGATATTCCCAGAGAGATGCGGAAAAAATATTTAGTAGTAGTACAGTATTTTTGTAGGACACAATTCCTCCTATAGCTTTGTCTTTGTCTTCTCCTCAAAGGGAAGGGACCCCAGCTTCTTCCATCCTCCCCGTCCTCCCATCATCTTCTCCCCCATTTGCAATTACTACTACTCCTTTTATTTTTTGTCCAATATTCTATATATATCTATATTTTCTTCTTTGCTATTTTGAGCTAAAGCTTACTTCACTTTACTCTAAAAAAAGCCCTTTCCATTCATCTTGTTTGCTTCTTGATTTAGTTTTTCTGACTCATGATATGATATGCTTCAATGGGGTTTTAGTACTGCCTAGGCTAGCAGCTGGTTATCTTCAAGAATGGATTTTGGGTTGATAACTTCGGAGACTGGTGGTGGGGTTGGCGGAAATGTTGGTTCAGAGTCTTTTGGGATCAGCAGTACTACTACTGTTCGGAAGAGTCAAGGATCTGGGGTGCTCAAAACACAGAGATCTGGTTCTGCTCAGGAGAGTTGGCGGGTCAACAAGTCTGCTAAAACTGATGAATTCTGCCTATTTTCACAAGCCCATAGTCCTGGCTTGCTGAGATCTGGTTCTGGGCTTACTGGCAACAATGGGCAGACTATGATCAGTTTCTCTTCTCAGTCTCAAGGTCCTGTTTTCAGCGATGAAGATGCATCCAAGAGCTCTACCTTCCCATTTTTCCTTGCCCCACCTGACCCTCTCTGCTCAAAAACTTCAGGTTTGCCTGGGAATTTTTTTTTTTTTTTTGTTTTTTGCACTTTCCATTGTGGGGAGACAGTCGTATTTTTCTGTTGATATTGAAATCTTAAAAATTATCAATTTGAGGTGTTTTTAGCAAGTTGGTTGTTTAGTTTGGTTGGATAAATCATTTATTTTGTGAAGTTGGTTTTGGTCTTTTTGGAGATGTAGGTGTTGGTTGAAGTTAATCCGCACTAAAAGTTAATCTAGACCGATAATGATGTTAAGACTGTGCTTTTGTTTCCTTAAAATGGGTAAACGTCTTTTCAAGCTCCCCTTTCACCAAATTTTGATTTGCAGATATTTCATGTCTTGTCAAAAAAAACATAAAATAATTTTTTCTCGTATTTATTATTTCTGTTAATTAGTAGTATTTTCGGGTGGACAAATTTTCTTGGCTTCCTTGTAGAACCTTTTTTTTTTTTTTTTGGTAAAAAAAAATGTCCTTAGTTATTAGTACTCAATCTGTATGAAGTATGTTACTGAAATTGCCTGCAGTGAAGGCGTCAACTGTGATGACACAGCCACAAACAGGACTTTGCAGATAAAAGACTTTATTAGTTTTCTTCTCTGTCATTCCTAATGTCCCCTCTCCTTCAATCTTTTCCTTAACTTTCCTCCATCCTGAGGTGCAATGAGATGCAGTTATGCGACATTAGCTGCTTAGCAACTGATTTTCAGAAATCAAATGAAACTTATGTAACTTTGTTTAGCATCATTTCCCAAATTTACTTTATCATTTACCAGTCATTTTAGTTAAGATTATGATCTCCCCCTTTTTGGCCTTTTCTTTTTTGATTTTGCCTTTCTCGTTGGAATTAAGCTGTTTAGTTTGGGCTCTTGGTGATTTTCAGGTTTTGCTGCAGAAAAGTCCAGCGAAATGCGTGGTCCTTTTACTAAGTTTCGAGGTCCATTTACCCCTTCTCAGTGGATGGAGTTGGAGCATCAGGCCTTGATCTACAAGCACATTATGGCAAATGTCCCAGTTCCTTCACACTTGCTCATCCCTCTCAGGAAAGCTTTCAACCCATATGCATTTTCCAGCTATTCTTCCGGATCATATGGCTCCAATTCCTGTAAGATACTTGTCATCCTCTTGGAATTTACCGAATTTTACACAGACAATTTAATGTTTGATATGATAAGTCGAATTATCTATCGTAGTGTATGTCAAAGCTGAAATTTGTGCAGGTGCAGTTCAGGCTTGTTTATCACATCTAACATGCCCCTTAACTATTTATCTTATAGCCTTGCTTTCCTCGTCTCTCTCTTCTTTTTTTCTTTTCTTTTTGTATTACCGAAATGAGAGAAAGTCCTTCGTGTGTGTTGCTATTCTAAGCCAGCTTGAGTTAACAAACTGTGAGTTTCATCTGTTCCTTGATGTGGTAGTCTTTTATTCTGGTTTCTTTACTCGAATACTTTGTTGTATACAGTGGGATGGGGCTCTTTCCATCTAGGTTTCTCTGGCAGCACTGACCCTGAGCCTGGGAGGTGCCGTCGAACGGATGGAAAGAAATGGCGGTGCTCAAGAGATGCTGTTCCTGACCAAAAATATTGTGAAAGACACATCAACAGAGGCCGCCATCGTTCAAGAAAGCCTGTGGAAGGCCAGATTGGCCAAGCTGTCTCTGGATCCACTGCCTCCAAAGTGGCATCGATCGCTTCAGCTTCAGCAGCATCGATGATGTCTAGCAGCAGCATATCCAACAGCCTCGGTGCTGTTCAGCACCATTTAAAGAATTTACAGTCCGGTGCTGCCAATGCTTCTACTGATAATCTCATGAGCAGGTGAGTAATGAGCTACATGTACACACCTGTGAGATATATTGAAACCGATGAAAGCAGACTCTTGGATAATGTAACTCTTTTCCTTTGAAGACGTTCCATTTCTTAAGTCTTTGCCTCAGTAAGAAAAGTTGGAATACCTTAAAACTTTAGTAGTCATCTATTGCATGCTTGGAGGTTTTTTTGTTTCAGTACAGTGCTGTCTCGTCCGTAATCAGATGTTGTATATGCCAGGGAAACATACAAGTTAAGCAGATTCTGTTCTAATCTTTCCCTTGTATGCTGTTATTGACTTGTTCACTCTTTCACATGTTCTTCGTACCCTATTATGCTGGCCTGCCCCAGGTATCATGCAGAAGGGGAATAAAGTGGAAAATTTGCCATTTTTTTGCCTGTCTCTGTTGTGGTTTACTGAACAATTTGTACTTTGTTTGGCAGGATGCAAGATCTTCAAGGTCTCTCCATGGGAGGTGATGCCTTGAGTTTTAATCCTAAGAACTCAACCTTTTCCTCTCAAAAGGAGCAAGTCCTTTTTGGGGGATCCGAATTTGGAGTTCTATCCCCTGATTCACTCCTCAATCCATCTCAAAAGAGCTCCAGAATGATGAATTCTAAAAACTCTGATTCTTTCCTGGGATTCAACAACCAAGACGCAACCAACCAGCATCCACTTCGCCATTTTATAGACAACTGGCCCAAGGACCAATCCGATCGAGCCTCTGTTACATGGCCTGAAGAACTGAAGTCAGACTGGACCCAACTGTCAATGTCAATCCCCATGTCTGCCGCAGATTTTTCATCATCTTCGAATTCTCCGAGGCAGGAGAAACCAACACTGTCACCCCTGAGGTTGGCTAGGGAGACTGACCCAATCCAGATGGGGTTGAGTGTGAATAATAGGGAGCTCATGAGCGAGTCAAACCAACAAAAGGAGGCAAATTGGTTACCAGTGGCTTGGGGAAATTCAGTGGTAGGTGGGCCATTAGGGGAAGTCCTGAACAGCACTTCAATCAGTACAGCAGGATCAATGAAGAACAACACCACATCGGCTCTGAACTTAGTGACAGAAGCATGGGATAATAGCGCACAAATGGGATGCTCCCCAACTGGGGTGTTGCAGAAATCAACATTATTTGTCTCACTCTCAAATAGCAGTTCAGGAGGTAGCCCAAGAGCCGACAACCACAACAACAAAGTAGCAGGGAGAACTGGAAGTGGATTCCTCTGTGATGATCTGCTTGGAAATTCTTCTGCATCTATTCCATCTCTGTAATTTGGTCAGATGCGAAGGGTGATTTTCTGTGTATTTTTTTTTCTTCTTCTTTAATCATCGTGTGCAATTAGCCTGAGTGAATCTTAGGACCACTACTTCTTGCTCCCTGCTTTGGATCATTTTTATTCCCTTAGTGGGTCACCTGTGTTGTTCCATCATTCACTGTGACCTGGAAAAACTGCTATATTTTTTTTCGTTCCCTCTAATCTATGTTGTTAAAACTTAAAACTGATGTTCTTTCTAGTTGATCAACAACAATGTAGCACGAATACAGTCTTCGATGAAATGGGGTTATAGTACTGAAATTGATGCAAAAAGAACCCAAGCATTTACGATCCACGGGGAAGAAGGAATCATAAATTGGGTACATCGGAAATAAAAAGGGATCACGAGATTGTGTTGTTTTTAGGTTCACCATCTGAGGAAAAAGATGTGGGAAAGGTGGAAGAATGTTGTAAGAAGATAGTAGATAGAGCAGCCGCGTGTAAAAGTCACGTGGCTTCCTCCTCATTATCATCATCATCATCATCTGTTCGTTGTAAATCGTAACGGAATCAATGATTGCAGCGCTTCTTGCTTGGTAGAGGAGAAAATCATAAATGTACAGCAGACCTACTTTTGGATAATCATAAACAAATTAATTATAGTGTGTGTAATTATAAACACTTCTGTAAATTCTTCCCATAAATTTCTGTATTTTTAGTCCAAATTCTTCTCATAAATTTTCTTTATTATGACATATTATTGTAATATATGTCATAATATTCAACAGTGCCAGAATTCACTCAATTTTGTCTATACCATAAATTGTTTTTCCAGCAATATTCATATAATTAACCCAATATCTATCTTGTGTAATAACTACGATATTTTTGGTACCCAAATTATATCACTTTTGTCTCCATCAATTAATATTGGTATAATTTCTGCCTCTGTCGCCTACAGCACATTCTTATTTCGGCAAAACCATCACAAGCGCCACTTGAAGAATGAGGGGGGAAAAAAAGAAACAAAAAACAAAACAAAAGAGCGTATTGAAATTTTTTATGGAGAAAGAAAAATAGGGGGGTATTAAGCTCAGATTCTATGGGTGTATAGATGAGTCTGTCATGCCTATGAAGCATTCAGAACGAGGAATTATCATTCTAATCACTGCAAAAATACCCCCGATTTCTCCTAACTTTCCATTACAATCTTCACAAATCAAGATAAAACCAAACATTAAAAAAAAAAAAACCGCAAAATTAGTTCATAAATCCATAAGGAACAAATAGGGAAAAGAAGACGAAGGCTCAGACACGCACAAAAAGGTCATCAGATGAAACACGAAAATATGGTCAATAAAATCATGCCCATTCAGCATCGAGAAATGAATTTGCTTCTTCATCGCCCCCATGCTTAAGAACAAGAGGAAGTTTAAAACCATTTAACCCAAAAAAAAAAAAAAAAAAAGAAGAAATCACTCAAATCGGTACCAAAAGAACAGCAGCTCGGTATTTCCAGCAGCTCTTCTTCGTCCCCGAACCCTCATGTGCAATCGTGCATTTATATGTAGCGATTGCGAAACCCTAATGCTCCAAGTCCGACTTGATTTAATGGGCTTATTTATTGGGCCTTTTTCCTTCGGCACTCCAGATCTCTGACGAATAAATATTGGGGCTACTACCTTGTAAGCCCAAATCGTATTGAAAAATTGATGACTTCACCATCTCTGTGTATTTTAGACACTTTAATAAATTACTTCTGGTATACGACCGTAGCTAAATGTTGATGCTGGTTGTTGAGATTTTAACACTCCGCCGTACATGATTAGGATGGAGGTTAATGACAGTTGTTAATTCAAATGGTTTGCTAGGAACTGATAAGCTAAACCTAACCAATTTCGAAGCATTTTCTTGGAAGAGAGACCTGTTTTTTGACTCGTTAATCAGAAATTGATGATTACTATAAATTACTAATGATGTTTATATTACACCAAAAGTCTTTTCAGTCACTAACTCCATCATTTGATTTCCTACATCGGAATGTCATCTTTTTACGTTACAGATACACAGGGCCGCTTTACCAACCCAATACATATGTTTTTTTTATCCACTTCATCCAGTTATTAATATCTTGCCTTCTCACATTATTTTCATTAACTGAATCTCCTGCAGAGCAAAAATGTTGGTTTATCTCCCGATTCACGTTATGAGTCCGTTGTTTTGAAGAAACATTCCATATTAGAAACAATAAAGGGAACTTTGATTGCATGGGAGTGAATTAGCTCTTTATACAACACGGCAACACGGGGCAAAGTGGCCAAATTAGCATGCAAAACTGAAAGCAGAGATGAATATGAATCGCAGAAAAATGCGTTCTTATTCTGAACCTCGACCGGAAGTCTGCAGAGTGCCGTTCTCTTGGGAAGAAAAGCCAGGGACTCCGAAGCTCAATCTCAATCCCAATCAAACTTATGAAGAAAAGCCAGCTGAAGAACTAATCAGAGCAACGACCAACGTCATTCAGGTTCCTCTTCCGAAATCAACCTCGTTCGAAATTCACATCCCCGGGAATGCGGTAATTTCTTGGGGATATACGAACATGGAGTTGTCTCCACCTCCAATTAGAGCTCAGCAGTGGGTTCCCTGCAAAAGTTCTTCAAGGAAAAGTTTTTGGAAACAAGATGATGATGACCCTTTTGCAGCCGCGATCAAGAAATGCACCAAAAGCATCACAATTCGTGGAATGGGGCCGCCCGGCGGGATCCAGAACTCCATTCAGCCGTACAAGGAGAAAAATCAAAAGGTTAATTTTTCGTGCAAGACATCTTGTGATGTAAGAGATGATAACCTGGTGAGACTGGTTAATTGCATCATTCCTCCCCTGCCCAGAGGTAAGAAAACAAGGGTCCGCCAAGGTAACTAGCGAGCTGATCGAAACAGAGAAGAATATACGTTTTGATGCAAGCACTTACATATGTTTTTGTAATTAGACTTGCAATTTAGTGTGATCTTATCTTATAGTTTTCCGAAATGCCTTTTGTCTACCCTTAGTTAGCGTTGTCCCTGTATATTGATCAACATTATTAATTTATGATCATGTTAACTTCTATGTTGAACAATTTGATACCACAAAATCACAAATCTTTTAATACCAGATCAGAGGTTTGTAATTTTTCTTTTTTCTAAGTTTCATTGTAAGCTAAATTCTCCATTGATCGGCCATAAAATTACAGTCCTTATGAGCAAGAGCTAATTGAAAGTTTGGAAACATTTGGTTACTATAAAATGGAAGGTTCAAGCGGACACATTTATAAGGAAGTAAATTATGCCTCGGTCATTTCAGAATTGATGACGTACATCTTGTACATCCCTTTTTACTTCTTGAAAGAGCTGGTACTTAAACACATGACAGCTCCTTATGAGGTATTTTTCCTCTCAAAATATTTTGCTTTATATTAGGTCATTTAATGTATAAATATGGAAAAATAAAATAAAACAAAAAATAAAAAATGCCTCTTAATCTTTTCATTTCCTGATTTTTTATTGCTAATTAAAAATCCCGTAAATCAGCCAATAATTGATTACTACATTTTTAATGTGAAATTGGCCGGGCTTCCTCCCAGGCTGAAAATCTAGTTAGTGATTAACTCATCGTATGATCATTAACTTATGCTTCTTTTTAGAACTAAATAATTAAAAGTTGAGATGAAAATTAATTTTTTTGGAGAGTAAATGATTTTTTATTGGAGAATTTTATTTAAAATCTTTTCTTTTTGGAGAATAAAAGATTTTTTTTTTCCGACAAACGTAAATGATTTTTTTTTTTCATATTTGGACCGTCGGCAACAGTGACTAATCCTCCTCGTTGAATTGTAGACAGCTCAATGAGTATTGTAGACAGCTCAATGGGTGAAACAGTTGGCCAGAGTATTTAAGGATGTTCTATGCCCATGGAAAGGTTTGAATCCACTCTCAACCTATAGTTAAGGGTGGAGGAGTCGTTTACACCCCATCACAACCAATTTGGTTCATAATTTTTTGTTATGCAATTAATGAGATGAAAATTGAAAAAAGGCCCCAAAAATGGGATTTGTTGGCTGTTTCTGGTTTTGGGCTTTGGCCCATAGAGTGGCCAGTCTCGTGCTTACAATCCATCTGGCCCTCTCCAGGTTTTTTTCGTATTGTTTGCACTTTGCAGGTTTCTCCGCCATCTTAAACCCTTTTCCATTTTCTCTGATCATCGTGCTTTTCAAAACTCACTCTGTTTCAACTACCTGAATCTTTCCGATGCACCTCGAAGCTGCAATGACTTCTCGAATGACTGTAGCTCCGCCTAATATGACCACCTATAGCCGGAAAATGGGCATCGGTTTTAACCCCTCAAAACCCCTGACTACTGCTCCGCCGCCTCAAAAATGTTTGATTTCAAAGCTCTGTTCTTTGTCCATCCAAGCTGACTCGGTGAGTTAATCATTCTTTATTCTTCGTTTTGCTACCTTTTTCTTTTGATGAATAGAAGTTCTTGTAACTGTTTGTATCCTTTCTTTGTTCATTGTACTATATTCATCATAGGGTTTGAACAGTATGCGGAATGAAGATTGTGTTTTGGTATTTTAATCTAGTAATACTTCTATCTTATCAGGGGATTCTAGTATGAACGTGTCGAACTTGTTATTTTCTGTTGTTTTATGGCGATAATTACAATGATGTGTATCGGGAAATGTACAGGATGATTATAACTATGTTATGACATTATGCTAGCTGCCACAGTCGATCTTACCTAATAGCTTAAGTTATCTTACATTTCAGAATTAAAGGAGACATTGTAGATATTTCTTTCACATTGAACCTTATCTGTCATTTTGTTACCTTCAAATTTTTATGACTTGAGCATTGGATTGATGTCTTGATAATTATCTGTTCTCATATGTACTCTCAAGCTAATTACGGTTTGAGCCAATTTAATGAGACTCATTTGATGTAGAATGGACCATTGAACGCAAAATGTAAGGTATGATTGGAGTGGAAATGTGCTGCTTTCTTCGGCATCCTTTGATTGGATTTAGCCGAGTTAGGGTAATGAGAGTGTGATCCAAGAGGTGAGCATTCAGTTGCTAGGATGAGAATCTAGTGCTCTAATTTGCTCGTGTTGGCTGTAATTCTTAGTTTGGCCTGTAAATTGATCCAAGGAATTTGAGCTTGTTTTATGAAGCTAGTTGGAAACAAAGATCTGGGTTGTTAAAATGGGTTGGTGGTAGCTCTTTGATTATGGAATCACTAGTAAATGGCAGTAGTTTTGATGATTTATCGCTGCCCTGTAGAAAAATGAAATTTAAAAGTGTGGTTTTACTGACAAAATTACAGAATACCATGGTCTCTCTGGGTGACAGGATGAGTTCTTATAGTTTTAATGGATTACTAGGTTGCCTTCATGTAGATGCTATTGATTGAGGATTGTTTCAAGGACATTATAATTTGTCTATATTCATATGCGACGTGAAAATTTCTGTGGGCAATTCCCTGGTAATGTTACCAGGGACCATGTAGTTAAGTGAGCTTCTTATCCCTGCACATCAGTTACTGCTGCTTCCTTAGAGAATGATGCAGAGGGGGAAAAATGGTTTATACAGGTATCATTACTTACCAGCCCTTGATTTGGAATGGTGTCAATGAGATGGCCGACTTTATTTGTGGCTCTAGAAATATGTGACTCAAAAGGACTGTCTGGAGCATATCAGTAGTTCATGAATTTGTATTTCACCCTGACAAATATGGGACAAGTAATCTACTTTTTTATTTTGCTATCTCCCACTAGCTAGTTCCAGTGTATTCTTTAATCGTTGACATGATTTTAGTTAACCCTTTGCGTATTACATTCGTCATCGTGAAGTGATCTTTTTAACTTTGTTCATTAGTGGTAACCATGCTGTTAATCTTGGTGAATTCCCCTGAAAATATCTATCTTCAGAAGGCCCGGGTTGAAAGTTGAAATGCTCGAAAGTGTAACTTCTCAGATTGTAGCTGTTAACTTACTAACTATGGAAACACTTTTCAGCTTCCTACCACGAGCTGGAGTTTTCCTGTCAACTACAAATTTCATCGAGGCAGGGAAGGTGAATACTACAAACTAACTTTGAGACCTCCAAGGGCGTTGGGCGCAGATGCCAAGGAAGGTAGAAGCTCTAAACATTCTCCCAAACCTAAACATCCAAAAATTTCAATCAAGGAAAGAAATCCCAAACGTCTCAGCAGTAGTGCATCGCAAAGGGTAGTGCTTGATTATATCCAGATTCTCAAATACCCCCTGATTACTGATTTAGCAATGAGAGAAATGATTAACAACAATACTTTAACTTTCATTGTTGATAAACATGCGGACAAGGAGAACATAAAGGCTGCAGTCAAGAGTATGTTTAAGATCCAGACCCGGAAAGTAAATACATTGATGATGCCTGATGGTAATAAGAAAGCATATGTGATGTTGACGCCCGATCACAATGCTCTGGAGATTGCAAAGAAGGTTAAAATTATATAATGCTAATGCTTATTTTGGCTGTTTTATGAGACCTAGTAATTGTAATCAAAATATTTGCCTGACCCGAGTAGTAGTAGGATAGCAGCACCTCAAACTTCTAGTGTATGTAGTGTCATGTATGTGGTACTTCTCCAGTCATTCAAAATAAGCAAACTCAGGTCTGCTTGCTTGTCTGTTGTCTCTCTTCGTCCTTTCTGCATATGGTAAATGTGTCAAATGACTGGTTTTTGATGCGCTCTAAAGAGGATGTGCCTTTGTTACTTTTGTGGCATGCTCATGCTGGTGGGTCTGAATGTAACTGTGTGTAGAATCCTATGATAAAGTGATAAGTTTAAAAATTCACTTGTTTGTGAATTTAAATTCTGCAAGAGACTATTATTGTAATCATTAGACAATTAAAGTAGCTGATTAACCTGAAGTTAGTAGTTGTATCTTTTTCTTTTTTTTCTTTTTTTTTGTTTGTAATAGTTGAAAGTTGGGTACTTGGGTTATAGTTTTGAATGGAGTTATGGTCAGTGGGGAGGGAGAGTGGTTGGCCATTGGAGGTCTTAATCACTTAAAAGTGTCGGAAATAGGAGCATTTACCTTCTGTTTTTGTTACCATGAAGTCAATTGCAGAAGTGTGGGGGGAAAAAAATGAACTTTATTTAACTAGTACTGCAATCGACATGCAAACGAAACTGAAAGTCAGAAAGGTTTGATTAAATTAAGCATAATTTGATTTTACTATATAAATTTGATCACTTTCTGTGACAGCATTTTACTGTCCTGTTGTTTTTACTAGTATGTCAAGTTTACTCCGGTTTGAAGGGTTCCCATCGTTTTCTTGCTTTTGGGCAAAAATATATATTAAGATTTTGGTCAGCAAATGAAGATAACAAAAGATCTTCTTTCCTAATTAAAGGAGTTAAATTACGCATTGATGACTGAACTTGTTAGTAATGTGTTTGTTTTTTGAACTTGACTAGTCTAGGGCTTCGTGACAAAGTAACATTTCTCTTGGAAAAGTTTTTCCATTAGTGATTTGAGATTTTGTAATAATACTTTTTTAAGGTTAGTTGGCTGTGATGGTGATATTGTCGAAGTTTTTTTATACGAAAAAAGTAACTATATAATGAGCTCAAAGTAGAATACCAATCATACGCTCTCAACCAAAGTGTATTTAGATCATTTGTAGCTAGGACACAATAATTAATCAGTCCTTGACCCACAAACCAAATTGCATACTGGCCTTCCAAAATCTTCAGTTAGTCGTAAATTATCCTTCCAATGGTTTGGCTTTTTCCCTGCCTCAGAAATGTCCTCTCTGCTTGGAGGGCCAACATATAATAACGATGAATTAAATAAAAATTAAGATGTGATAAATTATACTATTACAATTTACAACATTGACCGATTCAAGATTAACGCCACTACATGTACTAAAAAATAAAATACAGGATAAAATAAACAAAAGTAAAAAAAAGCAAAAATGGGTCATCTTTTTTTATATTTTTTTGAAGTAATAAATTGTTTTATATCCGTCCACGGCTTTTGGTGTTTTACAATAATAATAATAATAATAATAATAATAATAATAATAATAATAAAGAAGCAAACATCCAGTTAGGTACGGATTCTTTTGTTATTGATGATTCGTATATTTTGTATGCCCCACATTGTGTAGACGACTCACTATGTTCTACTCCCTTCGTAGTTCAGTTCCATTTAAATACATAATTATAATATATTTCAATTAATAACATATAAATAATTATCTCAAAATAAGACAGGGAAAAGTAATATGTGCTGTTTGACTCCTTAGTAGAGGAAATTCATGTGTTGTGTACAAAAAGATCATGTGCACGCAAGTATGAGCATTACTGTAATTGGGAGGTAGATTAACTCAGCTGGTTAACGTCAAAATCTTGATCAATATATAAGTGTACTTTGTTCGAAGATCATCATTTCAGTAAGGTAAAAAGCCGATACACAGCCACTAATCAGTTTTGTTAATGAAAAAAATTACAGGTAACCAGCGTAATTAACGTAATTAGGAGTGGTCACAGTACAATGATATTGCTTTTCAATAGCAAGTAGCCAAGTACATATACAAATAAGTATTAATAATATTTGAAGATAGACATGCACCATTAATACAATTTAATTGTACAAGGACATGGTATTGGATATTTTAATAAAAGTAATAATTCCAAAAAGGAAGAATTCCTAAAATTCTTTGGGAGGAGAAGAACTTCCACAAAGTAAAACCAAAGAAACAATTAACACACGAGTGACATGTGGTGGTTTAAATTGAGCCCAAAAGCTAATGGAATCATCAAAGTAGTAGTGAACTACTTACTACACCCAAAAAAAATATTAGTAAAAAAAAACAATGCAGAATTCATGGGAATGAATCAAATGATTGAAAACATCCTTCAATTATGTTTGATTTATTTGTTTAAAGGGTAGGAACTGCAGAAATTTAATTGTGAACTAAACATGTAACCGTATTCTTAAGGTATAACTTAACAGTTAGAAGAATCTTATCTCCCAAACTATATTGCTCGTTGATGTACTAAATTTAGGTAACAAATGTATAATATACCAGAAAATAAGAATTACGCTGGGGGGAACAATTGAGAAAGCTATACATTGACATTGTACATGAAAAGACGATTTGTCATCTTGTAAGAAAGTGTCCTGCTGAACATCATTAATCTTATGGACATGACAACATTAATGTTAAATCCAAAGAGAATTTCAACCCGGCGAAGAGCCTCGCCTTATTCACGCGTGTACTCAGGGTTTGAAAATTAGGGTCTTTAGCTAATTCGGAGGCGACTGAACTTTGAGTTCTGAAGGACGTCCCATATTCCCCCATTCCTTCTTTTTTTTTTTTGTTTTTTCACTTTTAAACTTAGAGACGAAGAAAAGAAGAGACAATTATATTGTCACATTGCCTTTTCCGAGTTGTTGATTCTCTTCGAAAAAGCTATATATATGTGGGGAGAACTGAGAAGGGTTTCTTTACTATTACAAAACATTCAACGTACTAATACAATCAATCAATTTTAAACTTGTGGCCAAAGCCGCCCAAAAAGATAGATTTGATTCTTCCAGTTACTACCTAACCCTAAAAGACAGCAGACCTGCCTATTTATGATCACACGCATTCTACACCATTCAATTATTGTGTACTCCCAGTTCCTTTTTTTTTTTTTTTTCCTTTCTTTCTCTTTTCTCCAAAGTGACAACACTTGGTAGAAACGTGTCGGATTAATTTGCAAAAAATAAACATCTGGTTTGAATTGTTTGGTATTGTCTTAATCGGTGGATTGATCATTTTTTTGTGGTATATTATTCAATTAGTTTTCAAAATTATTGTTACAATTAATTCAGATACAAATATAACCGTGTTGATTTCTTTGATGAGTTAAAACTCTATCTACATTAACGCATTGAAGAGTTTATTATTTTAGTGTATGCTTGGGATTAAATAAGTAGTCTCTTTTTCTTTTCCCTTTTCTTTTCTTTTTTCTCTTTTTTTTTTCATGAGGAGCAAAGCACTAGTTGGGAACCCTATTATGCTAGATATCAAAGTACTGTAGCTTAGATGTGGGGAATATCCATTGCGTACGTACTTAATTGCCTACCAAGTGTTGAGCATTAAGTACTCTATCTGAGTTTTAAATTCTCCAATAAACGTTTCTTAATTTGTATTTAAATGATCTAATGGAGATCACACAAATTAAGTCATGAGTTGATTGGAATATGTCCCATTTTTTCCTCGTGGGTCCGCTCTTTTTGCAAATAATTTTTCCTAATTAAAGCCATCATCCACCTTCCATTAATCATAATTATGGCTTGTCCGATCAACCATTTTCAATCAAAATGTCGAAGGAATAAGTGGAGCATTTCGTTCTAACCGTAGGATCCAGTCTTTATATTTTGAGAAAGATCCTCAAGTTCTCTCAAATTAATATATCTGGATTTAATCACAAGTGTTGTTTTCGTCTTGTCTAGACTCTGACACAATATATAACAGTTGAAAATACATTTCCATTCTCGTCAATTCTCAACCCTTGAATTTCTTGATATTCAGCGTATCAAAAAAAAATTATTAATTATTAGTTGGAAGTTTACTGCTTCTTCCTGAAAAAAAAATACAATGAAACAATATGTTAAGGGGAACATTATGCATAGGCAAATCCAATTCGTTCATATTGATTGATCTACACATAAGATATTTCACTACCGAGCTCACAAATGAATGAGGTCTTGGACTCTTTTGGATCTTTGTTTGTAGTCTAGCATGTCGTATGGAATCTTCTTTTAGAAGGAGACCGTGGGAAAGTCGACCATTGAATATGAACCGTTGAATTTAAAAAACATACACGAGTAAGGGAAGGTATCCAAACTTTCAAATTAATCAAACGTAATCATCGATAGTACTTTAAAAATAATTAAATTAATGTAATCATCGCAGGCCGGCTGTGGTAAAGTCAATATATTTGTGTCTCTATAAATACGCCTCAGCTTGTAAAATATGGAGCTAGCTAATAAATTACATAATTCATCCCCCCTTGGAGTCGTGATCAAAGGTAATTTTATGGCGAAGATCGGCAGTATTCCGATAGTTCGGCAAAATCGTCAATTCTCGTTGTTATTGTGATTGTTCGAGACAATGAAATCAAAATCAGCAAATGGTATTTTGGATTGTACGATTGGGTTCGAGAGTGGGGTTAGACGTACGTACAAAACGCGTAGGAATTTTAGTAACATAATGCAAATAGAAACGCAGCTTCGTACTTACTAATAATATATATTAACACAAGAAGACTTCCATTTATTATATAAATCTAATATATATAAGTAACGACAATGAACAAAACCATTGCCAAAACCTTGAGCGACTCTTTACAAAATGATGACTCTGCTAGCTTCTGCTGGCGTTGTCCCCATAATAAGACCCAAAAAAGAAGGGAAAAAGGGAAAATTGGAAGAGAAACAAGGAAAGAAAAATTCCCGACTAACCCATGTTCAAAAATACCTTAGTTATGACGCCTATATCACTTTCCATCTAGTATATAACTATTGAGCTTTAATTTACAGCGAGAAAAAAAGAAAAAAAGAGACTAAGTAGGGAGCGTAGAGAGATAGCGTGATGATTCTAATTTGCTTTTGTTGCTTATTGGTTTTTAAAGCTTAGTAAATATGCGCTTTAACTGATGATTCTTATATACGGTTTTTTCAAGTGATTAAGGATTGTGGTGAGATTGTTTCCTCGTTGGGGGACGTAAAATTATTGCATGGCCATGCAGAGGGATTAATGGCCGGAGTGGCGGGAGCCGCCAGTTGGTGTTGAAGTTGCCGGACTAGCAACACTTGGCGCATATCCCAAAGTCGTCTCCGGAGGATAATCGACTCCGACCGGAGCCGTTCGTTATCACTCCGTACGAGGTCAAAGTGATGGGTCACCACCCGGAGCCGGTTCATTAGTTCACGGTTCCCAACCTTAAGCCGGTTCACCTGATTCCTCAAGTTCTCCAAATGTTTCTGTTTTCTCATCCGGGACCTCCGAGCCGATTCCCGGTTCGACAGCATCCGCCTCCGCTTACGCTCGTCCACCACCGCCGACTCAACGGGTGGGTCCGACCCGGCACAGTTTGTGCTTGTGTTTCCTGTGTTTTGGCCCGGGTCATCCGAACCCGACACAGAGTCTACAGCTAAGGGGCTGGAGTTTTCCAAACCGGTGTCAGAACCGGAGTTGGATATGACCGGTTCTTGGGGTTGTTCCAAGGGGGAGAAAATGGGCTGGTCATCTTGTTGTGGGAAGGGAAAAGGTGGGTCTTGGTCTTGGCAATACCAAGGAGAGAAACCACCTTCAAAGGCCGGCAGAGGGTTCCCGTAGAAACCGTCGGTGGCTGAAATCATGGCCGGAAAAGCAGACAACATGGCCGGAGATTTTAGAATATAGGAGATAGGATAGGAAGAAGGGGAAAAGGGAAGGAACGAGAGCAAGGAGGCCCGTATTTATGGAGGAGCCCAGGGGGCTTGGGTGGTGGTCCACAGAGGGATATTTTGGTCAATTGACAGTGTGGAGCCAGTTAACTTTTGAGTCAGGCTGCACTAGTGGGGTGGGTCCTACTGGCTTTTGAAAAGGGTAAAAATTGGAGATGACATAAGCTCAAGGGTCTTGTAATTTTCCAAGCTTAGTCATGAAGAAAAAACACCAGGTGGAATCATCATGGAACACGTGTCAGCCACTCTGGTGTACAATCGTGCGAGCAACCAATAATATTCTAAAGATCTTGCTTACGTGTTGCTAGTCTGCTGGTATTGGCTTGGCGCGCCGATTTTACACAGTCTCTTTTACTCATCATGGCTCAGAGCTGAGTGACGTTTGTCTACTTCGCCAATCATTTTGATACATACACCACAAGTAATTAATTTAGGAAAATTACTTACCTTACGCAAAAATTGGTGATAAGTACTTTTATATATATATATATATATATATATTGTCGTAGTCAGGGGATAAGTAAATAATTGGGTTTAGACCCAGCTGCTATGAGCTTTTCCCCATTTAATTTTTTTTACGACGGACCTATGATTAATTTCATGTCTCGCAAGTTGATGAGTTTTGAACCACATTTGTGAAGGAAAAAAATATGAATCCTTCGAACCATCAAAAGCCTAAATCTTTATATTTTTCTCTGTCCCAAAAAAAAATTATATTAAATTTTTAAATTTATATTAATTCAGTACAAATTTTAAAATTGAATATGAACTATTTTCTTTTAATGATGGCGAGAGTAAGGAATATAATCTGAAGTATATAATAATATAATAAACAAAAAATATAATGAACTCTATGAATGTGAAAAATACGATATTCTATTCATCTCCCAACCGTCTCATTGTTCGATTGTACGAGTACGTATGTATGGTCATCAAGTTAATAGATACTCCCTCCAGTTCTTGATATAAAGCATTTTGATTTATCTTAAACTTCATTTAGTATGTATTTTTAATTAACAAAAAAAATCTTAAAAATATTTTCTATCAATCACGAGAACACAACAAATGTGAAATTATATTTTTTATGCAATTAAAAATGCATACTATGTGAAACCTACCACAAATCAATTAAGGAGTGAGAGTGGAGAGAGTAATTTACATTTTCCGAAATCTTTAATTTTCAGTATCGCACTATCTTCAGTTATTCACCAATTGCCTTTTATTTTTCATTTTTTCACATATCAAGTAATTTGAACCGGACTTTTAATCTTAAATAGAGAAGATCCTTACTTTTAAAATGATTTTTAATTTTTAATCTTTTTTTGGGTCAAATATGTAAGAAACACCTACAATATTATATTCCAATCATAACAGTATTTCTACCGGTAGTGTAAACAGTTGCTAATACCCTGCGAGGAAGCTGCTGCCTGTGAAGCTAAACAATGTGCAGCAACATTCATCTCATCAAAATTGTGTTTTTTTAAAGAGACTGTTGGATGTTATTTTCTCATCTTGAGAAAAATCAAAAGGAGAATAGCATATGTGCTATATATGTCACATTCATTAACTATCAAACCATACGTAAGGGAAAGCAGTCCAAAATCAACTTTTAATTAGTCAGTAAAAACATAAGTTAGTAATCCGTCTCTTTACGGGTTTACTTTACTATCTTTTGCTCTACATCCGCCAAGTTTGAACTGATGATTAATCGAAATAAAGGATATAAATCAAAGAGTAGTACATCCATCCTCAAATGATTATTTATTTCGAATTTTTATTTCTTTTTCAATTTGTACAAAAAAAAATTTAAATGAAATAATAATTTTCGAAGAGAAAAAGAAATATATACATATATACTTGGGTTTGTATATATATATATATTATGCTTTTGTAATTCGATGTCACGTTTATAGACAACACGAAATCGCCCAGATACTTGGCATGGATTTCTTTGGTGGTAGAAGTCACTTAGTTTGGCTCTAGTTGTTCTAAAATATAATTATGATGGAATTATAATTATAAGCTGCATCTTTCACTTTTTGTTCAAGATAATAAAGGTCGCAGAAGATGATAATATGTCCTTTTTGTCTGGATTTTATTTATTTATATTCCTTTTACACAATAAAAGTAAAAGATTCACGAAAAAGCAAAGTTTGTTTGGAGTTATTAGCTAACCCGTGTCAAAATTTTGGCGGTCCTTAATTCTTAATCTGTTGTATTCGTACTATTATTGATTTGTGAGGACAGGAGGAGAGGAGCCATGATAATGTTCAATATATAAATTCTGATTAGTCTTTGATTATATATCTTCTGATACCAACCAACATTTTCAAAGTTATATGGTGTGTCAATCAAGGAATTAAATTCCCATACATAGTCATAATAACTTTGAAATCATTTTTTTTTATGAACTCTGTGCAAAAATTGCTATATTATCATGGTGTTAGAGTGTGTTTGACAAATTTGCATAAAATATGAAAACCAGCTAATATAATTTCTTAATACAACAAATGGATACTAAGTTTTACAACGCGCACAGAGAGTGTGTTTCTTATTATCCGATTCTTCGCATATTTCTTAACAGTATAACATTAACCAAATGATCATTTTGATAAAGAAAAGATATCAGGAAAAAATTCGAAATAAATTAACCATTATTAAAGTTGTATATACATAGAACTGAATAAATAGCGGATACAAGTTCTATGCAATTACGATTTCGATTTAAATGTTAATTGATTGAGTACTCCAATCGATTTATGATGAAAATACTACTATAACGAAATATAGTTAAAAAATAAATACCGGGCAATTAACTTGAAAGGATTACAAAGATTAAAAAAAAGAAAATTACCTGATTCGTGTGACTGTTAGTATTTTACAAAAGTTCAGGTTGTATCAGATGGCACCAATTATCATAATCAGGCAATTTCTACGTCTAACCATTGACGTTTGTTACATACTATGAGGCAGCTATCTAACATTCTAAATTTTAGAAATTTCAATGGCACTTGTTTTAAAAACGGTGGGAAAGGAATTGATTCTGGAGGAATCGTGAACTAAAATTTGTGGGCACTTGGTAAAGAAATGCATTGCACGAGGCCGACAATATTCAAAAAGCATATAAAGCCCCAAAGTTTCATCATAGTATTCATAATAAATAGTTTCAGAACTAAATTACAAGTAACATAAAAAAAAAAAAGAGAGAGAGAGAGAGAGAGAGAGAGAGAGAGAGAGAGAAAATCTTGTTTGTTCTTCGCGCTTTCCTTTTTACACCATCTGTTCTACGTCTGGCAGATTCTATTAGTTCTCTCCGAGGTCAAGGGATAACTGGACTCTAGTGATTAACCGACACGTAGTTTTTGGTACGATATTGTATGAAATCCATGCACAAAAATGTCAGGAGTTGGCATATTCCAGTTTCCACCAAATTCATTGGAAACAGCAGCAGAATATTCTCCCTTTAGTTTAAGCTTCGTTTATTAATAAAGCTAAGCCAGCCAAGCTGATCGTTACAAGCTTTTTTTGACTAAAAGGGAAAGGATAAAAATCTGAGCAGCGGTCATCTGAAAGATACTGTCATCATTAATTAAAGGTTGAATTAAAGTGGGTTTACTAATTTTAATGATTAGTTTAGTCTTCTTGTTTTTTGTCGAACTGTGTAACCATTATAATAATGGGACAAGTACTTGTTTGAGACGTTAATTAGGAGCTTTTTAATTATTGTATACAAATTAACCTTTCTTAATCCTGTCGTAAGAAATTATACCTTTGGTTCTTTCAAAGATGTTGAAGCATGTCTACTTGCGACTCCAACATACAAACACCACCCTTCACTATTATTTTTTTCAAAAAAATAAAATACATAACACAAAAATTTGCAGGCCTTTACATTTCTTTTCAAATTTCGTTATTCTTTAATTTGCTCCTTTGGAAAACATTCCTTTATTTTTATATATGCAAGATACCCATCGTTGATAATAGTAGTATCTATTGTTGAATTGTAAGGTACCCCAAGTCCAATCCTAATTCAAACTCCCAACTTTGGCCCCTTCTCTTGTCTTTTGAATTAGTAGCTACAAATTATAAATTAATCCCCTTCCTTGAATTATATTTACGATTTATTTTTTGATACGTTGCTGTTCAAAATTAGTGGTTCGACTAATCCGATGCTAAAATACGAACTGATATTTTTAGTGTCTACTTCAAAATAATAATAATAATAATAATAATAATAATAATAATAAAAGAATCCCTAATAGATTTGGGTAGAATTGAAGTAGCGCACTAGTTAAGATCCCAAACTCATTTGGTAGGTACGCACAGATACCATCAGTCATGTTACTATTTCATTTCTTTTTCAAGAGCATAAGACTTTGAATTAAGTTTCTGTGATTGCGATTTGTGGAAGTATTTCTATTAGTCTATAGGTGTACTTTCACATTGACGAGAGCAATGACACAAGTCACAAGTAAACTCGTAGAAACCCCAATTGCATTTAAGATATTCTTTGGTCTTAAAAAAATATTTTAAGTGCTTTGCGCAATTCATCAGGCTCCTTAACTTTGTCATCAGTTGGGTCTTTCACCAAACATTTGGTTGTTTTTTTCTATTTATAATAATAATTACATTTTGTTATTATTGATGACATTTTGGTTGGGCTATCACTATCTGGTTTCTTCTAATATTTAACGCCAAAACAGGGGCGGCAAAAGCTGGTTTGGTTTTCTACTCACGCTATTGAACCAATTTTTATATGTTGATTTACTAATCGTCAATTTAATATTAGTCTCTGAATGTAACGTACTATCATTTAACTCATCGAACGATTAATTTATCAAGTCCACATTATGTCTTCAGATCAGAAGATTTCAACTGTGACGGAAACATACCTTTTTGCACCCTCTAGAAAAATAATAATTTAAAGAATTCGCTTCAATATGATTTTTCCCTGTAGGGGCATTTTAATCACTCCATTTCGTTTCGAGAAACCAAAAAAAAAAAAAAATTATGTTTATCAAATAAAATTAACTAATGCTTTAGAGTTTAGACATAGCTTTTCGTTGCTAAGAGGGGGAGTAGTAGATGAAGTTAGCTCCAAATAGTTGTCTTGTTTTTCATTGGTCATAGATTGGAAAAGAAATGCTCCGTACCAAAATTATTGTCTAGTTTGCATTTTCAATTTTAGTATAATTTAAAGTAGAAATAAAAATTCAAATTGAACAATATTTTTTTGACTCTAGTCAAGAAGCGCTGCAGTTTATAAAAAATTGTTGTCTTGTTTATCAAAAAAAAAAAAAGTAAAGAAGCGCTGAAGTTTATATATTGCGAGAAGCTGATGGTTTGGGCCGAAAGAGGACTCAGATTAGAGCTTCATTTCAGCCCGGGTGTATTTATAAAAGAAGTCCAAACGAGTAATGGGCTGGAGAGTGAATTGCCTTTTATTACATCACTGACATGCCGAGATTGAATGATTTGATTAATACAGTAGTAATTGTCTGTTATAAACTTGAAATTTCCGACCAAGAAAGGCCATTAACATTATTGCGCCCGGTTGAAATGTTAACGGCGAGTTGAAACCCCGAGGTCAGGATCCTCCTTGGTGTCAACCTGGACACAATAACACCGTTCTAACGACGTGAAAAACACCGAGGTCACCCCAGTGACGATTCTCGTAGCCAGCTCGTCCATCTTCTTTTTAAC